TAGATTCAATTTTTAACTCGATTATTGTCTTTAAACTTAGTTCTGCGATAGATATATTTTCGGTATTTTCCAATAAATTCGCATGTTTAAAATGTAGGCATTCTTCAATAAAGTTGTTTTCTAAATCATTCTGATATATTTCGCACAACTTTGCAGCATTATTTCTAATTATGTCTTCATTTATATTTTTAAAATTAACTAGAAACCCAAATGTTGAATAAATGTCAACATATGCACATTTTCTCTTTTGTACTTCTGCTAGAATTTTATCAAATAGCATAATATGTTTTTATGCGGAATTCGTCATTTGCATCAAGTTGCACTTCTTCCGACGTATTTTCGTCGAACTGTCTTTTTCTTTTCCGTAACCGTTTGTATTCATAACAGCCAGATAATTTTATACCTTCTGATTTGTAAAGGTTAAACGAATCTATATTTCGTTTCGATTGTACAAATTTTTCTAAAGAAGCATATAATGAAACAATGCATTCAATTGTAATATCAACTTTTTGAAGCGCTATATTAGTTTTATCGATGGTTTCCAATATTTCACTCCAAAATGCTATCATAATAGCAGTTTCTAATGAGTTGAACTCATTTAACAACCCCTGGGCTTCAACTTTTGTTGCAGGCTTTTGAAAATTATCTTCGTAAAGTTTAGTTAAAGCATTTTAAAAATTTTCATAGCCCGAAACCACTACTTTCACTGAATCAGCTCTTGCTGACCAATGAGTGTCGCTTAATTTTTTGGGAACTTTATTTTTTGCTGTTAGTGATTTTTTAAAATTTCCCATCTTGATGTTGATGCGGCAAAGAAATTGTATAAGTTTTGTAGAAACAAAAACAATTTAGTTGCTTGTATGCAGCATTCAGCTGCCGATTGTCCAATTAAATTTAAAGAATGTGTCGCACAGGGCACGTAAATGGCAAGATTATTTCTAGATTTAATGCGTGCTGGAGGCCATTATATATACCCGACATATTAGAGGCATTATCATAAGATTGTCTTCTAAAATCTTCCAAACTAATATCTAAATCAGATAATAGCTTTAAAATACAGTCTTGCATTTCTGAGCTCTTATGGCCAGTATTCTCCAAAAATTTTAAAAACCTTTCAACGGGTGTTCCATTTTTATTGACATATCTTACGACAATGGTTAATTGATCCATATGGGAAATATCGGGCGTCGAATCTACTATAATAGAGTAATATTTTGCCTCTTTTAGTTCCGTGATAATAAATCATCTAACATTTCTGCCCAATATTTTTAGAAACTCATCACAAATATTTGCAGATAAATAAGAAATATTCCCAGTACCTTTATTTGCAAAATTAAATATATGTTGTTGCAAAATAGGGTCAAATTTTGCTAAAAGTTCTAAGCACCCTAAATAATTCCCATTATGTTTATCACCAATAGTTTGATTTTCTCCCCTAAAAGCCAAACCCTTTGAACTTAAAAATTTTATGACTTCGATGATACGTTCTAAAATATTTTTCCATATTTTATTTTCCAGTATTCATATTTTTTTCCATTGATATAATAGAATAATTTTTGAAATATTCCCATTTTTCTGTAGATCTGTTCACAATTATACGGGTGTTTTCTTTATGAAGGGCTGAATTTTCATGGTCCAAAATTTTTTCACTGTGTTTCCAATCGTTAAAACCTGCACTAAATGGATTATTGGCACTACCAAACAGTTTGCAAGGGATGCAATATACTTTTCCTGAAGTATTTGAGTATAAAAGCCAGTTTCGTTTTTGTTGTTTTCCGTTTTGTAAACGTCTATAAAATATCATTTTTGTAGCATACCTGCTCTGTGATTTGTAGACCACTTTAGATGCAGAAAAGTATAGTTCTTGAATATCTACCTCTACGTTAGATATGTTCTTCATTATATATATAATTTTATCTTCGCTTAATCTTCCCCATGATGCTGGATCAGTATAATTAACACTCAACATATTACTAAGTTCATCTTCATCTAAATATTCTCTTTCTTGATCTTCTGGCTGTGGCTGTTCCATGTTTTGTTTTTTCTGGTCCTCTTCTTTTTCTTTCACATTTGATTGCTGGGCATTATTGTCATACTGTTGTTGATTTTTTTCTTTTCCCTCTTTGTGTTGCTCATCCTCTGTAATATCCATAGAAAGTGTTTCGCCTTTTTTAAAGAAATTTGTTAATGTAGGCATTTTTTCCAAGAGAGCTTTTTGCCTCGCCTCTTTCTCTTCTTTTAATTTACGGTTGGCGGAACCAGATAATTTTTTTCGTTTATGTTCCATGGTTAGTCTTCCTACATAATGGAATAAAAAATTGTTATAAAATTGTTAAATATGTATATATCATTATTAATTAATTTTTAGCTAACATATACACTAGTGGACAAAAAAAACGCATAATCAAAAAAATGGCATTTAGCAAGATAATATTTATTAATTTTAAAAGGTTAAAAAATAAATTGGTTTTTTTCTCATTTTATATTAAAAAATATATTTACTTTAAGGTATAAAGAAATTAGGTAGTATATTGAACGGTTTATAAAAATCAAAGTGGACTAAAAAAATGCATATTGTTTAATTAATACCTTGTATGCCCGCCCTTTGCTTTATAAAGTGCTTCAGCTCGATCTGGCATACTTTCGACCAACTTTTTGCAGAAATACGGATCAATCCTGTCCCATTCTTCATTTTTTAAACTCATCATGTTTTTGGCTGTCTTTCAGGTTTTTTTTTTTTTTAACTCATGTCTTTCAGGTTTTCAGGTTCTGTTTTCAGGTGAGTCCAGAGATGTTCTATTGGATTCATATCTGGTGATTGGGATGGCCAGCTTAGCACAATAATCTTCTTATCTCTGAAATATTCTCTTGAATGCATTGAACGATGCTTTGGATCGTTATCTTGTTGGAATTCATATCTATTAAGACCCATTTTGAAGCTGACAATGCAAGACAAGAGTCGATTATCCTAGTATATTTAAGGGAATCCATATTTCCTTCAATGATCGTTAACATTCCAGTGCCATTAGAGCTAAAACAACCCCAAACCATAATATGCCCTCCGCCATGTTTAACAGTAGGCTTTAAATTTTTCAAATTATATCTTTCCCCTACCTTACGACGCACATATCTTCGTCCATCTGATCCAAACAAGTTTATCTTGGTCTCATCTGACCAGATTATGCTATTCCAATGCTCTTGAGTGTAATAAACCCATTTCTTAGCATGCTCATATCTGCTTAAAACATTTTCAGGACTTAAATATGGTTTAGAACAGGCAACTCTGCCAGGCAAACCTATTGAACACAATCCACGACGAATTGTTCTAGATGAAACACATTTTCTTTTTCTGTCATTTAATATATTTTTCAATTTATTTGATCCTGATTTAGGATCTTTTGAGATATTTTGCTTCAAAAAAGTTAAATCACCTGACGAGAGTGACAACTTTCGGCCAGATCCCGGTTTTCGAGATGAAGACCCTCTTCTTAATATATTTTTTAACAATTCTGGAAATGGTTGATTGATTTACGGAGTATTTTTTTGCTAACTCCATTTGGCTCATTCCAGACTCGTGGAAAGCTACAATTTGAGCCTTGTCTTCAATTGATAATTGCTTTGACATGGATGCACTGAATCATAGAATTTTTTTATGTTTTTTGGCGGGAAAAGGCAATTTTTTTCAATATGCATTTTTGTTGTCCACTTTGATTTTTATAAACCGTTCAATATACTACCTAATTTCTTTATACCTTAAAGTAAATATATTTTTAAATATAAAAAGAGAAAAAAAAAAAACAATTTATTTTTTAACCTTTTAAAATTAATAAATATTATCTTGCTAAATGCCATTTTTTTTATTATGCGTTTTTTTGGTCCACTAGTGTATGTAAAAGGAAAAGCACTTACCTTAGGAAGATAATAATATAATTTAATAATTTCCACTTAATTTTCAATTTTTAATTCATCTTATTCAGTCGACAAATACTAAAATTATATCAATTTTACTTTTGTCGTGCAATCTATATTAAGGTACGCATCAGTGACCCCTTTATGTTCCTATCTTTTATCAGGATTGTTAAAATAATACAATTTACGTTTAGATAAATGAGTATGCCCTGGCGACGCGGTGAGTATACGTAGGTGGTCTTATATTAACTCCAGTACAGCTCCGACAGTTCAAATGTGACTGAAACAAAAGTACGATCGGTAGGGTGTTACTCCTATTTCGCGTTGCCCTTCTCTATCTATCGTTTTTCAGCACATTTGGAAGAAATAAAAATCAGTTTAATATTTTAAGAAGTGTTTTAATTTAAAAATAAGTAAAAACTAATAAAATGAAAAATAAATTTTTACTATATCGCAAATAAAAAATTGCCGCCTCAAAAGGCTTGCGCCCTGGGGCTATAGCCCATTTAGCCCTGTGGTTAGGGCGGCACTGTCCGAAGGTGAAGGATCTTTAGGGATCGGATTATATGGTCCTTCGTTTAAGAGTTTAGTGACACCATCGATGTAAGTGTTCTTATCCATGACGACTATCTGTCAGTCATTATACATTATATTATATGGGGTACAACTTATACTCATTTTCTTCTTAGGGATACATGATAAAAATGTTTGGACATCACTGCATTATAATATGTGTTATTTCTCTTTCTAGCACTTCTTTAACTTTTATGAATAAACCGATAACCTTTTCAGTAACCTTGAAAGAACTGTAATTAAGTGTAAAACATTGTATGCTGTATTACCCTGCTAAATTGAAAGGTGACTGCAGTGCTCAAATTTTTAAGTCTTTGAATCTGTAACTGCAGATATTGACAGCAACAATCCAATTAAAAATTCCCGTCAAACTTCTTTTCATACACAAGTATTTGCTATTTCACAGAAAGCAAACTAAGATATATAAGAAGTAATTGTTGCTGGTTATTTCACATATCAAACAATATTATCTATTTTTTCTTAAATAGCCTGCTGTAGTTAGATTACAACTGACATACTTTTGATACAGCTTTGTGTCCTTCTCTGATGGCGGTTGAAGATCAGACCCATATATTTGCTTCATATTGCTGAATATATTCTGATAAAAGATAAATATATATATATATAATGAGCATGAAAATATAAATAACATTTATTTATTTATTTCATAATAAAATTATGTAATTCACAACTTAACGTTACAAATTACAAGCATAACCTTTTATTAAAATTTTGGAAATAAATAAATGATGCTGTTTGAAATGAATATGAATATAAGAGTTGTAATACAAATTACAAAGAGTATATGCTGAGACAAAAAGATACACAGAAACATATTAATCCATAAAACTCCTTATGTGTTTTTTATGTTTATAATTGTTGGTTATAGATACATACTTAAAGTATCAAAAATGTTTTAAATCCTACAGATATTCACATTAACGCACTTTTAAATTTAGAAATTCACTTTTTTACGAGTTTTCCCCACTTGTGTCTAGTGAAAATTTGAGAAAATAAAAGGGAAGATAAACATGTTAACAGAAAGATTTTTAGGATCAAAAACAAAAAATTCAAATAACTCTGTTTTCATTATTCTTCCCAAAATTCTCCCAGAAAAAATAATAAATTCATATATTTTCTATGAAACACAATCTTTTAGTTATAGAGTCATTAGGTTATTTGAAGCAAGAGATACGAAAATGTGCACTGCCCTTGCTAGGATTCGAATAGCGACCTGTCAAATATGTGCTGAGTGTACAACCGTTACATCATTAAGGCATGCTGAAAGGAGGGAGAAAACACCTTATATACTCTCCCTTTAGGATGGGTGGGGATGAGCAGACCCAAACATCAAATCCTGGTGGTGATGAATTATCATCTATCACCTTTTAGTTCAGGCACCACTGCAGAGATTACTAGGTTTTTTTCAATACAGGAGATGTGAAAATGTGTGCTGCCCTCACTGCGACTCGAACCTGGACCTCTTGAATATCCGACGAGTGGGCTATCATTGCAACACAAAAGCACAGTGAAAATACCTTATAATGTATTATTACCATGGAGACATTTTTCATCTTGTCACATTTTTCTGGAATCATCTGGATTCATAGGTTTATCAATCTTGCTTTCAAATCCACTTAAACTTTTGGAACTGTAAAGTGTAAAAATTATCTCCACCATCTCTGTAAAAGCAAAAAGCAAGAAGATTTTTCAATAAAAAATTCAGAAAAGAAAATGTAAAGTGAACTTTTAAGAGAAAACCAACCCATATTTGAATATCCAGAAACAGCTACATAGGAAGAAACTCCTACAGAAAATGTAAAAGAAGACAAATGAAATTAATTTTGAAATAATTACAATAAATTTTTTGCTTTTTCTAAGACATGCTGCAGAAACTGCACTTTATAGCATCAGTTATTTAATTTACTTTTCAGAGTCAAATATTCCTAAGTTGTCAAAATGGAAATTAATGTAATTTTAAAATATGTGATGGGAAAATGTTCTTTCTTAATCACAATTTTAATAAATTATCATTATTTTAATGATAGTTATCAATTTCATTATGTTCGTTAAAAAAAAAAAAAAATCGTTGAGAAATTTACAAATAAAAAATTTTGTATGCAAACTGATCTTGTAATCACTAAAAATGTTGATAAGTTGCAAATTATAATAAAAGATATCCTATCTCAAAAAGGCCCACCAGCGGCCGAGCGGTAAAGACGCTGAACACTGGTAGTTCGGTTGAGGTTCGAATCCCACGAATGGGCTGGTTGCATGGGCATTTTCGTGGTTTTCCCCATGTGTAACATGTATACGAGCCAGTTTCCCTTAGAAAGTCCTCCACGAAAGGCATCCCTCCCTTTAGGCAGATAGCCCTCGTGTGCTTTGCCATAATTAAATACACCACCACACCACACCTATCTCAAAAAGGGAAAAGTTATTTTTGATGTAATATGTTATGAACTCTTCATTCTCCAAAAAGAAATAATTTTGACATGTCAATGCTTCAATCAAGGCAAGACCCTGTGCCCCCAAATTCGAGTATCACACCATTTATTTTATTTATATTAAGAAGTAGGAAAGAATTCAAATGATAACCCATCGAATGTCATTTTTGTCACCATCACCAAAAAATATTCCTCCATCTGTTAATTCACACTCAAAATGGCAGTAGTAAAATACAAACAGAAATGTCAGATGAGTTAAATTAGGGACTTTTTACTAATTTAGGCCAAAATTAAAGACTGTTTAAGACCCCCCCCCCCAAAAAAAAAAAAAAAAAACTACTTTTAAGTATCGTAGGAGCCCTGCGTAGATTCACGACATAATTTTATTTTTTGATGAATTCTTCTGAACTCACATATTCTCATTTACACCCCACAATAGGAGCCCTACAATTTTTCATTGACTTAGAGAATAGGATGATGGCACACCATAGCCATAAGAAGGCAGGTGACAGAAAGTGGAGACTCCTGATGGCTACCAAAGGTTCAAAATTAAAATAATTTTGACATGGCCAGAAAAGAGTGACAGTACATACATGATACATTACAAATGATTATCTTTTCCTACTTTATAAAAACAGTTTAGTCTTAGAGAAGTTTAGCATGTTTTTTAACTAAATGTACAGTTTTAGAGCAGAACATAAAATAACACTGATTAAACTGAAATTAATATTAAAATTAAAATTAAAATAAAGTATACACAAATTATAAATTTACAATCACTAAAACTAAAAATTAACTTAAGTGCTAAGACTGAATGCAAGAGAAAGACCAGCAAAATGTTACTGCACATTTCAGCAAAGTATATTTACAGAGTTAAATCCTTTTTTTAAATTCTGAACAGTGACTGGACAAGAGCCATTGCACTGCAGTTAACATAAAGAAGATAAGTTTTGAAGTGACACGGTTTAAATTCCAGGAAAGGGACAGAGTAATTATCTTTCATATTCTATTTCTTACACACAAACATATACATATGAAGATTTAAATTTGCTTATTTAAGCAAAAAGAAGTATTTAATTTATGTGAATGCCCCCCCCTTTATTTGGTTTGATGTGTAGACATAGTAATGAAAAAGTAAAAATGCATAAACATACAAAAAAGTAAAATACATAAGAAAATTTTAACCAAAAAATGAGAAAAAACAGAACACTTACATTTTGAAATATTGAAAACTAACTAAAATATATACATTTCATTTTGGCTTGTTTTTTATGTTCAAAGTTTTCCAGTTTTTACTTTTTATTTACACTTTTTTACATTTATACTATATTTATTCTTGTGTTTACAAAATTTTGTAATTATCAAATTGGTCAAGTCCACAATAATAAATATTTCCTTTTCCGTTAAATAAGCAAATTTTTAATTTAGAGTAGAAAGAGATGTAACTTACACAAGTTAAAAACTGAAGTAATTTACACAGAAGAAAACTAAAAGGGAAAGATTTTATGAAAGATATCAAAAGGAAGACAGATCTATTTTATTCACAGCTGTAATAGAAAAACTATGAAAATGTTTGGCTGCAAGTGAGATATATAATTATACACAATACTTTGTTTCTTGATGAAGAAAAAGGCTGCTGCCATAATCTCTGAAAATGCATAAAGCATCACTATAAAATTAATTGCTGTCCATAAAATGGTGCCAAATTTTGGAAGTTTTTGTATGTTGAGCTTTTATGAATCCATCCTAAAATTACACTTATTCAAAATATGAAATAACGTACCTCAAAAGTTATCCCACGAGTGAGAGCAAGAGAATATGTTGATTCCTCACTATCCAAGTAAACAAAGTTGTCTTCACTACTAGAATCACCACTGTCTGTATCACTGGCACCACTGGATGCAGAAGCCGTTGAGGAAATGCCAGTGACAGAAGGATTTGGTGGTTTCTCGCCAATGCTTTCACGTTTTCTTCCAGGTCTAACTCTGACAGAGAATGGGCTGTAGTCAGATGTAAAACTTGGCATAATGTCTCTGTAATCAAAATGTTTACAAACCATGAAAATATTCCCATTTTTCTCTTATAAGATGATTAATACAACAGAATTCATAACAGCATAGCAAGTGGAAGATAAATACAGAAAAGAATATTAGTATTATAATTTTAAAAAATATATAATGTAGAATCAAAGGGATCAAATATACTGCAGAGTCAAATTTTTCAAAATTAATATGGATGGAGAAGCATTTCAAAGAACCCACATTAAATATTTTTGGCAACTAGATTTGTGCAGCCTAAAACCTAAAATAATTTTCATGTAAAAGAAAAGACATATACGCAGTGGAACCTTGATTCCTTAATGCCTTGGATTATGAAAATTTGGTTCACCAAAAGAAAAAAGTCTTGGATGATGAACCATGTTTGAAGATATGAACAAGTAACCTGGCAGCAAATGTTATTCCAAAATGCAGTTAATGCACAGGAGAAATTGCCTTGAAAAGATGAAGATGGAAAGGAAGATATTCCCAGTTATCTGATCAGTGAAATCTGTGTCAAATGGGGTTAGGTGCAAAGGTTTGGAGAACGTTATCCCCTTAATAAAGCAGTATTAAGTCGTAGTATAAATATTTGCAATGGCAGTGTGATGTCTTTCTTTAGGAATATTCTAAAACACTGATAAAGATAGATTTTTAATGAGACAAAGCCTCAGCAATTCTTAAGTAGAGGCGAGCAATGCTAAAAGAAAAAGAACCTACCTAGACCTACATTGAAAAATCATTAACAATACAAAATCAGAAGTAACAAATCAGTTACATTAAGGGGGAAAAATATTCTGCTGCTCATAAAGAAATTCATTGGAAATTATGATCTGAAATAAATGTTGGAATAAGATTGTTAAAATAGTAACAAAAACTCCAAATAATTTGCAGATAATATGCATAACATGTTATTTAGGAGGAAAACACTGACTCAGTAGCTACCACTGCAATTCATATGCCACAATTTCCCTACACAATTTCATTGGCCATCTGCAAATAAGTCTCCTGCAACACTATATCCCATCATGAACAATAGGCACAACTCCTAGTGGAAGTGCTGCAGACATGTATCTTATGCTCCAGAGATATAATTAAAAGAACTATGAAGGATTCTTATATGTGGATCATTACTTTATATTTATGAGTATCAATTAAGGAGCCTATGAAGAAAATCAGAAATCCTGTTATGAAAGGCAAAGTGAAAAAGTTTGAGAAACACCAAATTATGAAATCAGTTTCATAAAGTTAGAACAGTCAGTATTTATGTTTTAAAATGTAAATCCATACCTCATGGAATGATTCATTGAAAAAGACAGCAGGTCAGCTATAGCAAATGGACGGTAATGATCGAAAAACCCATCCGTTCTGGGATCCACTGGATGAGTTTTGACAATTTCTGTCAAAGAAGTCTCTAATTCCTTTTTCCCTGCAAATCGTTAGAAAAGGAAACATTTTTCTTGGAATCATTAATGCAAGAATTTATAAAGTATGACCAAATTACTGGTATCAGATATATTTTAACTTTATTCATTTATCTCCAGGTATCCTGAAGAAATTTGAACATACACCTAAAATATATAATTTCAATCATTTAGTTACTTTTATACATAAAAATTAGAACTATTTTAAATCAAAAGGCATTTAGTTAATCCCTGAATTACACAAGGGTTATGGCCTTGTGTAATTCAGGGATTACAAGTGCTACATAATTGAAATAATAATTACTACACAAGTGCATGACATAATTGAAATTCACATGTAATTTTTGTCTTTATAGTAATTCAGTTCTTAATAACTCCCTGTTGATAATAAAAATATATAATAAACAATTAATACAGAATCTAAATGTTATATGTATTATATGCTGTACTCTTAAAATAAGCTAAACTCTTTACTTACAAGAACAAAGATTTATTCAATGATAACAAAGTGGCATAATCAAAGTAGCAAACTCAAATCTTACAAGCATAGTAGTACCCCAGCATGAAGGTACCAATGTCTTCATTAAGGTTGCTTTCTTGAAATTAAAAAATGGCCTTCAAAAGAGTTTGGGCATCTTTATGTGTGCTCTCACTTATCTGTCTTTTCAAACAGTGGCTGAAAAAATACAAGGTGGTCATACAAAAAAAAAAAAAAAAAAAACTTACCCAATATATTAACCTCTAGTGGCCTATCTGCTCAACCGATCGGTATGAAATTCCTGATATAGTTATCTGAAGGTATGCACTCGAGATTAAAATGATTTTGAAATATAGAGCTGTCATGGTTATGGTTACTGTGAAAATATTTCAAAATTTTTGAATGGCAACACCCACGTTTTAATTTTTTGTACAAGACAGTATTGTAATCACGAAAAATTCCAGGTACCATATTTCAACAAAAAATATCCATTTTGACCACTATCAAATGCAATTTAACGATATTTTTGCATGACATCTGTACATATGAACAGAATACAAGACGCTTTCCCTCCCAAAAACAAATTATAAAATGGATTCAGAAGAGATTTTTCTGTAGTGTCTATACGAACATATATATGTATGTGCATATGTATGTATTTATCTTGCATAACTCAAAAATGAGTAGCCTCAGAATGTTGAAATTTTGTATATCGAACAGCTAAAGAATGTAGTTGTGCACCTCTCTTTTTGACGGCAATCGGTAGCACCAAAAGTAAATATATATATAATTTATTTACAAAGAAATATTGATTATATATACACTGTTAATCAGCTCTGTGAGCTCAGTTTTTTTATTCTTATATGTTGGTAAATTGAGCATTTTTTGCTTTAAAAATGATTATGTTGTTCTTATCTTCCAGTTAAAGTTTTTGTGCCTTTAGTTAACCTGCATGCAATATTTGTAGAATTATCAACAATTTAAAAGTTGTTTAAGTACAGCAAAGCCTAATTTTTTTACCATAGCAGCCAATTTGTTTACATTTGAAACTTAGCAGAATAGTGGATTTGTTGCCAATCTAGAAAAATTAAGCTTCGCAATAGCAAAGTAGCATCTTCTTTTATTATTGCAAATTAAGTTATGCCTAATTCATTATGGAATTATCATTTAAGTTATCAGCTCGTTTTTGCATAGAAACTGTAATTTTAATTGTAAAAAAAAATTTTTTAATTGTTTTAACTGTACTTGGTGTTTTATGTTTCTCTATATCTTTCAAATTTTAATGAAAATATTTTGAATTTTTATATATTTTTGCTTTGCTGTGAAGTAAGAACTGAATTAATCAGTAGTGCATCTGCATTGGGTAAGTGGCGCTGAATCGTCTGCGAAAAACTGTTTCTTTTTTATTTGTTTAATTTCTTTTTATACACCGTTTTAGATTTATTATAGTATTTGAATAAAACTTATGGTAATTCTTCAGATGATATAAAATTAATGAGACCTAACGCTGTTAAGTGAACCTAGTGCCAGAATATCGTTATGGTAACTAAATATAGTGAATTTTAAAGAGTGCATTTATTCTATTGTGGTTTACATGCTATCGACAAAGTAGATTTAATTCGATTCAATAAGTTTAAATGAAATGCAGGAATAATATGGATAATTTAATATGCTGTGCAAGGAAGTCATGTGGTGTAAATATCAGATTTTTTTCCTGCAGAAATTGATCAGTGCACTGAAACAATAAATGCTGTTGGAACAATACATACCTGACGAAAATTGCTGGCATAAAACATTTGCAAAGAAGAGCATTGTAAACAATATTTTATTGGAATTACAAGGTTTCAAGCTTTGCAGATGATAATGCACTGCATGTGGAATTTGTTGACGACAATGACAAACGAAACACTTCAAGGAAGCTGTATAACTTCATGTTTTATGGCATCATTCAATTCTGACAAATCTCATGGACTTGACATGTATATCTTCAATTTTAGATAACTCCAGAACTAGAAATCCATAGAAGTAAGGTCAGGGGATCGCAATGGCCATGAAATTGCAAAGTTATCTCCAAAGTAACTTGCAGAGCCCTTTCGAGATAGATGACTCTTATCTTGAAAGTGCTCTACGGTGGTGACATATGGTATCTCCAAACTGGTCTATCACATGTGGTGACGTTTGGAAGAGCACCATCTTGCATTCATACAATGTCATTAACAGCATTTCACTGCTTAAGTTCTGAAATTACCTAATTTTGCATCATTACTGTATACCAAGCAATGGAGCACATTTTCATATTTGTGGAAGTGACTTCTACAAAGTATGGACTGAGAAAAAATGTGCTTGCAATGCCGCACCATACAGTCACTTAAGCTTCGTGTAAAGGCACTGGTGCCATATGGTGAGAATTTCCATCAGTCCAGTGAAAGCAGTTCTTGGAGTTTATGTTCCCGGTTAAGAAGAAAGATGCCTCATCCACACCAGTCACCTGCTATCTTCATCATGTCTGATGAGGAATGATGATCTATTCTTTGCAAATGTTTTATGCCAGCAATTTTCATCACAGGTGTTATCATTCCAACACCATTTATAGTTTTTCAATGCGTTGATCAATTTTCACAGAAAAAAGGTGGGTATTGCCTTTCAAAAATTTCGATATTTTTTCACTGTGATCTTAACCGTGAGAACTCTAATGTTTTAAATCATCACAATCTGAAACACATACCTTCAAATAACAATATCAGAAATTTCGATTGGTTGAGCGCTTGAATTTCATATATTGGGGAAGTTTTTTTACAACCACCTTGCATAACTAAAAGTGAAGCAGTTCCGCTCCAACTCTATAACTTTGCTTCACTGCCATGTGCAAAGAGGTGCGGTGAAACAACATTTACAGGAACAACTTAATATGCAAATATGAATGTTGAGTGAAGCAATTTTAAGGAACTTAGATTTATTGGGCATACGACCACCAAGAAGATTTTTAAAAATACATAAATATTTCAGTTATCTATAAAAATTATATTAAAAGATATAAAATATAAATTAATTTAAAGTAACAAAAAAAAACTATATGCTTCTATAATCAAATTTTTTTCTTCCTGAATATATTAAAGAAATTTATTCAAAACAAAAAATTTTATTAAATTAGATCAAAAGGTGCATAATTACACAGTTTTTTTCATCAGTCCTACCTTCAAGAATTGCTAAAGGGAGACATTCCATAACATTTTCATCCCACCAACAAGTATACCTAGAGAATAAAATAAATGCATTAAGTCTCTAATTCACACATGAATTATCTAAATTAAAAACAAAATTATTCATGAACACAAAAAATTATACATAAATTTATATTTTAAATTTAGTCAAGAACTCAAATTTTGTACGAAATTTTCATTTTCTTTTTTAAATTTAATCTCTTGTGCTATAAATAATTTTATTAATTACTCATTGTAATTAGATATGATGATTTAATTATAATAAATAATTTTAAGTAACAACCTAACACTATTAAAAATAATTTAAAAAACTAATGATTAAAATAATAATAATAATAAAATAAAATAAAAAAAAGCAGTGTTCAGTTCTTTTCCTTTCCAGGTCATTAGTTCACTGCTAAATGTTCCACAAAAGCAATACATATTTGCTAAGCTGATAAAACAATTGAATGCTGATGGCTCAATTCAGGCTCAAATCCTAGTGAATGGGCAGGCTGCATAGACGTTTATGTGATTTTTGACATATATAACAAAAATATGAGCCAGTTTTCTTAAAAAGTCAGTTTAGGCATTCCACCTCTAATGGAACCACTTTTATATGCTGCCTTAATTAAACACCCTAGAGTTTCAAATACTGGCTTAGTATTATACTCTGAAAGTCATGGCATTGGAAGCATGATATACATAGATTCTGTTCCTACTGCCAAAAAGGGTAGTCAATTTTGTTCCAAAGGGTTTTGACTTATGCCATCTGAGTAGGTAGCATGATAGCCAGAGACAGGTTTCAATAGCCTCCCTACCCTTCATGATCTCCATGCCGCTAGGAGCGATAACCCTATGAAGCCAATGTAGCATTGGGCGTTGTAAGACAGAGCTTAAATTAAAAAGTCTACCATCTATGGATTAGGAACCCTGAAACATGCAGAAGTGAATGGCTTTTAGTTCTTCTATGGAGCTTTTTGACTAAATAACCGGATTGTCTGCTGTGGCAAGCAGGTCAGTCTGTGTACTGCCCCATTCGATGTCGCAGAATATGCATCAAATAAATTAAAATAAAGCAATTACACATTTAGGAAATGCAGTACAAGTACACATTTTAGTAATACTATATTATCACTTTAAAACTTAAAAAGAAATACAATATTTATAAACCAGAAACAAATCAACATCAGAGGAATGTAGATTTTAAACCAAAGTCTTCTAAAGATAAATTAAAAAAAAATATGTAGCATAACAACTTACAGATTCCTGTGGCAGATGTACTGACCAGCAGCTAATGAGTTATGCAAATAAAAATCTGTTGTCAACTCCCAGAGTGGTGGCAGAGCTTTTCCTGGTCTATAAACTCCCAAGAATAGATTGATAGCATTTTGTTTATCAGCATCTATAAATTATTTAATTTTTATTTCAAAATGTGACACAATTTTAAACTTACCTACTTGTAAGGCATTTTCTTAATTAACCAGTTACTATGATTTCTACCTTTACTATAATTTTTCCTTTCATTAATCCTCACCAGGATGAAAATGAACTTATAGAGTATTTAAGGTGAGGGTTTTGCTTTAGTTCTGGCTTTAGACATTTTGCTAACTGATAGTAAAATATGCCAGCGTTTCCCAAAGTGTGGTCGTGACCCGGCACCAGGTCGCAGAAAAATTCAGCTGGGTCGTGGCAAAAATTGTAAAAACACAAAACATCTATAACATTTTGCTCTAAATTTAATATTTTTCGAAACTTTTTCAAGTACTGCAGGTGACAACACTTTACCACCGTTTCCTACCAGACAGTTTAAATTCGGGCTCTGATTGGCTGATTTCATTCGTCATTCAGTGCTTCTCCGGTACATGCGCCGTAAAACTCACGTGTATCAAAACAAGGTTATGTTTGAATTTTTGTTACCTATTTTATTTGACAATAGTTATATATTACTTATAATAGCAACTTCATATTGGTAAGTAATAAAAAAGCTTTTCTTATAAATCTAATAAACAATTCTTTTTATTAAGCTTTCAATCTTTTTTAAAATGGATAAATGGTTAATCAAGAAAACCACAAATTTAAATGATGATGATCAACTAAGCACGAGCAAAGCTGAACATTATGACCATGACGAAACTGTGCCTGAAGCACCTAAAGCAGATATACAGCGCTAAAATAACAAGTGTAAAGCTACTTGGACTCGCAACTATTGTGACGAATATTTACGCTTTGGGTTCATTGCAGGCGCCAGTCAAAATAATTTGCCGTTATGTGTTATTTGCAATGAGCAACTTTCAAATAATAGTATGAAACCGTCAAAGTTGAAACGGCATTCAAACACACTCCATTCTGAGTACTCTGATAAGCCAATTAACTAACCTTTTTACTGATAAGAAAAATGAATTGATTGTTGCCTCCCCCGAAAAAAAAGGAAAAATACATTCTTACTTCGCCAGTCAAATAAACACCTCACTTTGACATCTTTTCATCTCATCATCACATTAATTTCCAAATTAATAGCTGAAACTGGGTATCCTCATAGTGCTGGAGAAAAATTAATACTTCCCACTTTGAAAGTTGTGCAATAAATAAAATGCAAGAAAAAATGCGCATAAGCGTTGTTGCAAATAATTTATACAGAATAAAGGGAAAATGTTTATTTTCGGCGATACCATTATCAAATGATACAGTTAAACGAAGAATTGACATTAATAGACTGCGAAGCTATCAAGTACGGCTGAGCCTGATAATAGCTTACGAGACAGTAGCCTAAAAAGACAGACGCGTGCAGCCAGAATACCTAGTATCTCACTCACTAAGACCAAAAAACTTCGCGGTTAAATAACACTCTTCCTCATTATGTATTCAGACGTGATTCTAAAACTAGGTTCTGGACAGAAGTGGTAAGTTGAAGTTAAGAATCGATAGGAAAGGAAATTTAACTCAAAATTTAACTGTTAATAAAATAAAAATAATCCTTACAAATTAAATTGCCATTCCTGAAGCTAAGCATGGCATTATGCATTTTCAGTACTGTACAATGCTTTTAAATTCCTTTCAAAGTTATTCAGTATCTATATCATTTACAAATTCATATATTATTATTCAAGAATTTACTTGCAACAAGTTGGCATGCTACAGAAGTTGACTGGCATAGTGATAAAACTAAGCTCAATCTTGAAGAATTCACTGATGTTCATTTAGTATATTTGAGGCATGGCACCACTTGAAATACTATTAAGCCAAAAGTCCCTTCAAAAGGCAGTCATAGAAGATCCTCATACAGTGTTCTGCGTAAAAGCTTGAACACATCTAAACAAATTTGTAATGTCACTTAAAATGGGTATGGCAACAACAGGTGTACCCATTTTCGGCTTTGTTATAACTAATTTGTAAACTCAATTTTAACTCTCTTCAGATCAGGAGGATTAGACACAGCAACAACACATAAATTTATAAGTTGAAAAAATGTTTAAGAAGGCATACCAGAAAAAGTATTGCTGTAATATCTTGACAGAGTCTGCAGTATGTCTCGGGAATGTGAAGACAAAGGTGCTATTTTTCTGTAAGTCTTCACTCTGTGGACTAACTGAGATCCACCATACTGCATAGCCAAAGTATCTCCATGATCCTCATACAGTTCTTCCAGCATGCTAAAACAAAATAGTAAAATTTATGTAGAAAATTTAGCAGAACATATATTGAAAAATTCTATTCACAAGAAAAGTGTTTACTGCTTTGAAGATTAATATATTTTGCTTCATATTTTAGTACATGAAGCTGTACTTACATACCATTGCCGTGTATATGCTCTGAAATGGAACAATTGATTTTCATTTGTATTGCATGCTAGTTTGATATCTAACCTACTTTACAAATAAATGTGTTTCCCATTCCAACATGAGCATACATCACGATCACAAGAACAGAATCTCATATTATTCACACCATTTTATTAAAATGGATGAGACACAGGCCAGATTGTACAATCCCAAATTGAAATACCAGTCTAACAAATGGCATCATTGTGGATCACCATGAAAATCAAGAGTTCATCTGAGCCACAGCAGTGTGATGTTTGTGGTGATTTTCAATGACATCATCCTAAAGTATATATTATGTCACAGACATAATGTCACCACGCAATATTTCACTTTTGGAATTTTAACTACGAGCAGCAATTGCAAAAGAAATAACTATGCTTTATAATGCATAAACATACTGTGTAAATCTTAAAAGATTCACAAACATTTACTTCAGTCCCAATGATATTTAATATTGAATCTGACCACAAGAGAAAAAAATCTGATGTGTACACCACACGACTTCCTTGTACGGAATAATAAATTATGCGCATTTTTTCTTGCATTTTATTTAACTTATAATTGAATCAACCACTTTACGCCCTACCACAATAGAATAAATGCATTCTTTAAAATTCACTTGTTTAATAGCGCACTCGGGCTAGGTTTCAACAGTATTATACAGTCAAAAAGTGTCAGACTCGTCGGCTTGGCGATTCCGGATTACGATTTGGCTTAAGATCATCAGTTAATTGGTAAGAGGCATGCAGAAATTATAAATTAAAAATGAAACCGTAATTTATGAAGTAAGAACAATTATGATCTAAAGTGCCTCAAATTTACAAAAAAAAGAAGCTTAATATTTATTTGTTACTTTATTAAAACATTTTTCAACGACGCATGCGTAAAGCAACATACGTATACAGGGGTGTTTGTGGGACCCAAAAAATCCCCTGAAACTTTAACGGACTTACTACGACATTTTTGGAGTTTCGAGAAGGGGGGGGGGGAAATGAAAATAATTATTAGAAATGACCCTAATTATAAAAATTCATGAATATTTTTTTTGCAAAATAATAACAAATTTTCAAAAATATAAACTACTACATTTATTTAAAATTTTAAATTACCTGAATTCTTCTTTAAAAAAAATTATCTAATTCTGCTGCTTTTTTTATTTTCTAAGTTTTTGGGCTTTTTTTTTGTGTTGAACTATAATGCAGGGAAGTTGACTTTTATTTTCCTCATTACAGTTGAAGAATTTCTCGAGAATGCACATGCAGAGGTAGAAGCAGTTTGCTTTTCTGCTAGTAGAGGTTTTTCAGAGACTTTATAGGTGGACTCATCTGAATACAGTTTTTAAGTCCTCTTTTATGTTCCAACTTCTTCATATCAGGAACAGATCTTTGTGAATGGGATCAGTCATTGGATTTTTTGCGCATATTTCACATGAGGTTCTTTAGAAGCCATTAAATCATATTAATAGTCTGCACTGCATCTAGGGAATCAATCTTAAGAGAGGTTCTATAGTCAGTGCAAGTGTATCCATAAGTTGAATGCACTTCCATAATGGCCATGGAAGCAGCTAAGCAGGCTTTGACCAATTTAGCCAATAGGAGATTTATAATCATTTGTGAATCATATTTTAAATTAAAAACTTTAGACCAATATTTATAATTGTACACTTGACTTGATTTCCACTTTCATCAGAGTGTTAGAGCATTTCTTTGGTATAATATCACTCTGGTATAAACCTATTTCACTTCTACTTTTGATGTTATTATCCTAAAAATATGGGACTAAAAGATGATAATTTTCAAAAGCTAAATTTACTGGTTTTACTCTTAGCTCAGTCTAATGTGTAACCTAATTAGATATGAATTTTTAAGGGGTAATTTCTGTTTCATGCTGGGCTGCATTAGATAAGCTTTCATCAGAGAAATTGGAATTCTTTGCTATTGGAGGATTTTTGATAATTCTTCAGGAGAGTGGAAGCTCGCCCACAGTAAATATACTTTGCTAGGAGATGGAATTCTGGATTTGAAATCAACCTTTAATAAATCATTATAAGATGTGCACTCTATATTTTCTGGCTTCATAAAAAAGAGAAAATTTTGCCAATCAATTTAAAATACTGGAATGTATTAAATTGAAGCATTGGTTTTTTTTCAATAATTTAATAATTGTGTTGAATCGGTAATCGATGAATATATGCCATATGCAATAAACTTTGTTTTGCATAACAAATAACCATTTAGTATTCTTTTTTTTCCGAGCTAAATCCTTGTGAGTTGTGGGAATGAAAGCAAGAATACACCCCTTCAAACAATTTTTTTCTGAGCTGCAGAATTTCTTTATTGTATACAGTTTACCATAAGAAAAATAATCCTTTATCGTTTATCCAAGTAGTGAAAATAAATGCAAAAGAGCATCACAGTCTTGATCTTTCTAAAACACATAAAATGTACCTAGGTACTATGGTTGGTCTCTTCAAGGCTTAAGTTTTTAATGCAAGGGATTCACAGATTTTGAAAAATTTTTCTCTTTACTGAGCTTTTCAATCAAAATAGATGTCATCAACAAATTTCTAAGTATCTATGAAAACATGAAGCAAATTTTTTTGCACGGTTATTAGGGTGGCATGTGTCACCACCAATCTAATTAAGTGGGGTGCTTTTGTAGTCTGGTGTCAACACCTTTTTTTTCACGCATGGTGTTACATGAGTCCATTAATACACTATTAAGTTTGCCCATGGAATAGATTATCTTCAATAGTATTAACAACTGCTTTAAAAACAGCTTCTGAATTGCAAGATTCCATCTTAGAGATGAAAAATGTGAACTACAACTTCATTTTGATTGTTGTCATAAAACTGCACCAATATGCCAGTATACTTTCTTGAGCATGCTAGTACTTTAATCCAAATTTAGAGAAAATGGAATCTCCTTTAAAGTTTTAATGATATTTTCCTGAATAGTTTTGCGAGCCAATATGTCATCTTATAACATGCATAGCCTGGACTTTTCCACGAGTTTAGTGCCGTTGATCGCGGCTCAACTGTTTGCACAATTAAATTGGGGCTACATTGAAGAAGAGAATTCTCGGAATAAACGAAGTTATTAATACCTTGGCGTGCTTTTTTGTCACATTATCCAATGGCGAGCATAAGTCTCCAGTAAATCTCAGTATTTTTGAATAATAATTATTAAAGCATGAATGTCTAACTGAATGTTATGCCTCACGTTTTAGAATGATTTGTGAAAGCCTTGAATAGCCCCACATACTTCAGCAGTGGGACAAAAAACACAATATGCTTGTCCAGCAAACATTTATTTTCTTGACCATGTGCGATGGTATCCCCCATCTATCGTTCAATCCAATTCCACCTAAATGCATTCGGAACACTTTTCTAATTTCATAATTCACTATTTATATCGAGAAATTTATAGTGAAATTCGCTGCGTACATAAAAAAAAATATTTCAAAAAACGAACGAAAAGTTACAGTGCATCAATAAATGAAACGAAAATTTTACACACGGAGGGAAAAAAGTTGAGAAGCGATCAATGACAAATAGCTAATAGGGCGAAAAATCCCCCTTCTCTACTTATTGGCGCCACGCCAGGATAAGACCTTTGAACCAGAGTCGTGATCGCACATCTGGTCGACGAAGTCTCTCCCTTTTTTTTCTTCCCTCTTGCCGAAAAGAATCCGAAGCGATGCCGAGAACCGGGGGAATGAGTCATAACTCGCAATAAGGAAAGAACAAAAAAAGAAGTTTTTCCCCCGTTACACGCATTATCACTGCTTTGGAGAAAGAAAGGAAAAGTTTTACCACACACACTGACCTTGCTTTTCTGCTTTCAAAGCAAACAAAATTACCCAGATCAAAATAAATATTCATTATTATTCTACTTCCTTTTGAACGACGATCCCGGAATTTCCGGGTACAAAGTTCAAATCCGGAATCCGAGGTTCCCCGGAGCACAAACACCCCTGCGTATAGTCGAATTAGAAAATTGCACCAGAAAAACTATTTGATGTGTATCATGATATTTATAATGACCGAGGAATTTGATTTAAAATCATATCAAAGACAGAGTTAATTGAGATGAATACTACATTTAGTAAGGAATTAAAAGCCAAATAAAATAAAAACATCTGCCCTGAAGATAAGGATAGTTCTGACAGATCAACTTCCAGTTCATTGTGCGCCGCGAAGTCCCTCCCCCCCCCAAGAGCAGCGTGAAATTGATAAACAGATTTCGGAATGGTTAGAAAAACAAAGGATATGCCTTTATCGATATTTTTGTTACAATTCCACTTTTTGTTTGATGGACATCGAAACATGCTTTCGCTTTGTAGATCCTTTGGCAGCTCCAGAATCGGAAATTCTTTTTGACATAATCGAAAGTTCAAGCTTACTTTTATAAAATTGCTGTAACAGTCTGCAAAAAATAATAAGCCGGATCCAATTAAAAGGAACAACACAATCTGCAACATTAACTGAATTAGATAATTTTAGCTTAGTTTATACCGTCCATTATCATTAAACGTGCATGCGTAAACGTATTATGCACATACGTATTATGCGTTTACGGATGCGCAGAAAGTTTATAGCTTTGAGGTCTGGATTATAGATCATTCCAGACTATGGATGTCCGGATTAAAGACTTTTGACTGTATGTATCTGAAATATATCTTTATATCCCAGTCGGGAATACATACCGCACACAATCTGTGTCAAATTCTAGCTTAGGATTTTCCAAAATTCCCAATACATATAACTGCAAAAAATAATTATAATTTGACATAAGTAAATAACAGTCACAAAACAAAGACAACTGTTGGAAAACTCAAATTTATGAGGATAAAAACGAAAACTAAAACAAGTTTACAAAATGCATACAATTCATACATAAATTTTGAATATCAATTTTTGCTGATTGCATAATTTTGAAATAAACAATATTTAAGTTCACAATTTTGGAAAATAAAAACTGTACCATATGTAGATATAAGGCATTATAACACTAGCACCAAACACACCAATTATTTTTTGAACAAGCTATATTTTTTAAAAATCTCTTTCAAATCAAACTAAAGTCATTGAAACTATTCAGTTTGCTAAGTTTTTATCATTATATGTTACTAATAATCATGAAAATGTTGTGGTTTAAGAGATCAAGAACGTTTCACCAACTTGAACTGCTAAAGCTGCTTTGCCCAAGGCGAATTGAGCTGTGTTGGTACGATCCAAACAATCCACACAGTTTACTCTAACAATGCCTGTTTGAACACGGGAATTGTCTTCCTTTTGACAACCACCAATTAATAACTTCTTGGTAGTATGTTGATTAAGGGTTTGACAGTAATACTCTGACCTGTTGTGGAATATTCCAGTTTTGCTTATAACACAGTAAGCTATCTTGGCAAGGCGAGGCATTACGCTTGCTTCTTTTCTACAATAAAAGAGAATTAAACAATCCACTTTATTTAAAGAGGTATATAACTTATAAATAAGAACTAAATAAGTTATAGTTATTTAACAAAAACAACTTTATTATTTCTAATTACAAGGTACAAATTCTGAAAACTTGCTTTGCATGTCATTTTTTCAAACTTACTATTTCAATGCATTTTTAAAGTTGCCAATTTCATAAGAATAAAAAACCAGACTTTGCTTTATACAATTTATTATCTTGTTCAAATTTCAAAGTCAAAATATTCAAAAATCACTCAAATGAAAGGCAATGACATTTTAAATCTTCACTGAAGGAGATAAAAATATTCATTTTAATACCATTTTGCTTAAAAACATGATTTTGATTTATTGTTATTATTTTAATTATACTGTAACAAATATATTATACTTGTTAAAAAAAACATTTTGAAATTCGAAAGCCTCCAGATCAAAATTTATTATGAACAAATTAGTCTCAAAATCGACAAAATGTTGATAAGCCACCATATCTAATAAACGAAAATAAAATGCTAACTTATTTTTACTGTAACAAAGATGATAAATTCAAATGATAGCCTACACTTGTAGAAAGCTGGTATTTAAAACACAGATATAGACACAAATCACCAAACTGGAACAAATTTTGTTGTTTTTAATTTTAAAAAAAAAAAAAAAAAAAGAAGACATCTGCTTGTAGAACAATTTTCTAAAAATTATGAAAAAGTCATAAAAGTTGGTCAATGTGCATAAGGTAATATTAATGTCTGCCAAGAATGTGCACTTCAAGCACACATTTGGTGGCAGATTGCCAAATTTGCAGAATTTTGTCTTCTTTATAAAAAGTTGTAAAATTTGTTAGGTACTTACGGAAAATCCCGTCTACCATTTTGCCTAGTATTTGTTTTAAAAGACGCCAAACTACGCAATTTTTTGCCAAAAATGGAAAAGTCTAATTCAAACATGCTGAGTTTGGTGTACCCTTGATTACACGTGTTAGTTATTATTCTTGACTAAAGACTCCTTTACTGGTGATTTCGCAAGCTGAAAATTTTGCGAAATCTGGTAAGTGAAAATTTTCTGATTTTTTATTATTATTTGAGGCGAAAAAAAAGTATTTCGCGAGACTTATATTTCTTCACGAAAATTAAAACCTAGCAAAAATAATTACTTTTACAGTATATTTCCTTCATAAAAAACAATGGAAATTTTTTCTTGTATTTAGTTTTTTATTATTATTATTTTTTTATTTATTTGGTCCGATTGGCGTTGTTTCTTGTGGTCGGCGGGATTTTCTGTTAAGAAACATTTGTTAAAAAAAAAAAAAAAAAAACATGTGAGATTGTAAAGAAACATTTTAGAAGAATTCTTATAAAAATTACAAAAAATTCATAAAATTTGACAGGCATTTGCTATGTATCAAAAGTTTCAAGTTTTTAATCCAAGACTGATATAAAGCAGAGGCAGAGGAAAACTGACCAATCACTCAAAAATATAAGACATTCTGATTTAACATGAAAGTGTATATTTTAGTATCCATACCAGGCTTTAGAAATGTCACTTTTTTTTTTTTTTTTTTTTTTGCTACAATATCATCACATTTTTTTCACTGCTAATGGGCGATATAAAACAGAAAAATGGAAATTCTGCTGATGAAATTGTTCAACAGGATCGAATTCATCAAAATTCAAACAAGTGAGATACATGATCATCATCTTAGTCATATTTAAGTCAAAGAAGAAATCAGTTTTACCATATGGGAATTATACTTACAATTTATTTGTATGAGCCATGTCAAATCCAATGTGAATTATCTGACATTGAGGTGGTAGAAATTGGTTAAGGTAAGTTATAGCATCACAAAACTCTTCACTCAAAATACTCTCATGACGCTTTTGCTCTCTCTTCTTCACTAAATTGAGAACAATTATAGGTGATCCATAGCGGCGAAGAAGTTCATTGAAGTGCTGACCGGCAACATACCGGAAAGGGTCGGCAATGTCCACTGTAGAAAGAGAATAAAGAACGAAGATTTAAAATCTAAAACATTAATACAGAAACTTAACATAAGTTTGAGAAACTGACACAATAAATATTAAGACAAAATGTATAAGAATGTGATGAAACCCCAGCAAAATAACGCAGAATTATATTATTTTTTGAGGAAAAAAGCTATGTTACATTTACTCAAAATGTAAATTATTATTCTTTAAAAAAAAATCTCAAGTTTGAATTTTCCTTAACTTTACACTCAAGTTGGCAAGCTTCATTTAAAGTTTATTGTACTTTTCACTCTAGAGGATTCTATAATTCTCCTATGGATTCTATCACGTCTCATTTTTAAAACTGCTTATCCACAGATTTCAGTTATGTTGAAATGTTACTGATAAATATTCTGTCTCATTGCAATCCATTTGAACAGAGAATACAACTGTCTCTCTTACTTCTTTCTGCAGTGGATCTATATTAATGCCACTCTCGAATATTCAATGAGTGATTTTGCAGAAAGATATAAATGTTAAAGGACTGAAAACTTTTTTGTCTCCTAAATATCCTGAAAATGTTAACGCACAGTTGAAAAATGCACCAGCATTTATTTCATAACTTTTTTTTTTTTTAGCCCAAGTCTTGAATGCAGTGTCGAAACGGCAATTTGCGTTGAATAAACAACCTTTCACTTTTCAAACTGTTGCCTCCAAATATTATAGCCCTAAAGAAATTAAATAATGAAGAATCTGCCTGAATGCATGCATGTTTCTCACACTATGAAAAATCAATGATACCTAAAGCCATCAAATTTTGAATAACGTAGACCTTTATCTGAACATGGGCATTTGGAAGCCTGATTTTTGAATTTCAAATTAGTTTTAACTTTTTTATTAAAAATTTAATAATAAGAAGAAATTTTTTATTAAAAACTCGATGATTTCAAGCAAGCACTGGCAACACTGTATAGAATAAAACATTTTTATTGCCAGCTCGCAAAACGTCTATCGGAAAGTTTAAAAGATATGACGTTTTTATATATTTTGCGATTTTGCTGTTGAATCCAATTTTATGTGATGTAAAAGCCAAGAACTTGATATTTCATAAATAAAGTAACCATAGTAAATGCTAACAATAAAATGAAAAAAAAAAAAAAAACGTTTTGTAGAGCCATCTCATTAAGAAAACTAAAATTGTTATGATGAACTGAGAAAAAACAGAGGGATAAGAACAGAAAAATGTATGCCAACACTGAACTGGGCATCGGGAATTCGAAACACATACTGTTATGCTGTTTTTAAAATTTTTGCAATTTTGTTGTTGAATTGTATATTGCATAAGTGCGAAGAAAATTATGCTTAATAATAAAGCTAAAAAGATATATTATTATCATTAGAGATGATTGTACCGAGATACATAAAGTGAGAAACGCTCTCCAAAGTATAAGATTTTATTTGGAGTGGGAGGGGATTATGTATTCTACTGGTTACCGCCATAAATTTTGTTTTACACCCATTAATCGTAAGCTCAATGTCTCTGGCTGCAGCCTCTATAGAAATAAAAGTCTCCACAACCACCTGTTTACATTTAAAGTTTTTATTAACACCTATATTCAAGTGTTCATATGTTTATTGAAAATGCTCAGATCACATATCAAAAACTGAAATCATGCAAACGTAAGCCATACTGAAAAATCTTCAGAACAGCACCTGGAGATAACAATGTTTCATAGATTGCTAAACAAAACCTTTTTGAAAGGATTAATGGAAAAGTACTTATGCTATTTTTAATAAAAATGATTAAAAAAGTGAAACAAAAAGTTAACTTACATGTAATAGGTGGTTTAGGCACCATTTTCGACACATCCTGTGACCACTGTGACGGTATGGAACCTCTCATCTGCACAAAGGACGTAAAGCGACCAACATTCAAAGAGGATATGGTAGAATCAAACACTATCTGTTCAGTTTCCACTTCATTCGCAACATCTCCCTAAAATCAATTACAGATAAAATTTTCAAACCGTCTTTTGAAAAAATTTACATAAATATTTGTTATTCTATACCAGAAATTTTTAAAACTCCTGGTGAGTGAAATTTCTCTATTGCGACAAGGTGAACAAAGATTACATAAATCAAAATCTCATATTCCACCTCCGATTCTCAAATAAAATTTTTATTAAATATTTTTAATAATATTCTATAAATTACATCACATCCACTGCTCATCACTGTAATATGTCAGTATTTTTCATTTTTTTTTTTTTTTTTAACTTTTGAAAAAAAAATTTTATTTCAGGTGAACAAACACTACCTAAAATTCTGATAGTTTCTTATTAATTAGATACAACATTATTTCATGATATTATAGGAATAAGGAATGCAATACATTGCTAACGACAGTGGCAAGAAAAATTAAAGGAAAAATCATAAAAAAGATGCTTTATGTTGTAGAGTCCAGGTGGGTGAACATCTATCTGAAATTGGAGTAGCAGGAAACTACACAAGAGAAGGGTTAAAATACCCCTTATTAAGTCTTTTGGAAATTTACAATGCGTCAACTCGACGCTAACAAACTTCGCCTCTGCTTGGGCTGTAACTGAAAATCACGTAATTAAACTAAAATTTGAAGATATTAACAAAGAATTTTGAAGATATTACACCTAGACTACAGGACTTAGTGAGGTCCCGTAACTTAAACCCCCTTCAAAGCTAGTGGCAGCAGATAAATGCAATTAAGCCACTTGAACCAGCAATAATCAAACATACCTACGGCAGAGACAACAAGATATATACTGGTAGAGAGCTTATTGCAACCTCCAACCGGTTCCAACATTAGTGTCACGTGACTGCTGGTCGAATTCCGAAAGTCCGGAAATACTTTACATTCATTTCTATGGGACGAAAGACGCCTGCTCTGCTTTGTCACATAAAATTTAAGGAAAAATGGTTATCCGCTGCATCGCTTATGGATGTAAAGAAAGTTTTGTAAAAGGGGGACCTGTAACCTTTCATAGCTATGTTAAAAACTGCATGATTTATTATTTTATTTCCAGTATTTTTGTCATTTTCTCTGTTGAATTGGTTGGAAAGTTTCAGCCATATTGTATAAGAAAATTGCCGCTGTATGTGACATTTTCAGCAAGTATTAATAGCATCAAAATGTAATAAATACTGTGACATATTACTGGAATCACTTTTACAATAATTGCATTTTAGTTTTTTTCCGTGTACTCCGTTGAAATAGAAAGCTGCGCCAATTGGCGCTAACCTTTTTTCGCCAAATCGTATGCGTTTGGTTTCATAAACAAGTAGCCTGCGATTTAAAAAAAAGAAAAAAAGAAGAAAAATGCTATATTATTAAATTATGGAGATAAGATTGTGCGATAGTTTACTTTGTTAAAAAAAAAAAAAAAAAAAAAAAAAAAAAAAGCTAATTCAAAATCTAAAATGAGCTGAAAATTTGTATATAGTATATTTAGCTAATAATGCAGAATAAATCCTAAATTTTTAATTTAAGCAATGCATAAGAATGATCTGGTAAGCAGGAATAAAGTGGCAGTGAATTCGAACTTACCTACATTATAAGTACAAGGAATAAATGGTATTAACTCCTTAATGTCAACAGATTGCCTATACTTAAAAGGCATCTATTTATAAATTAATCATCTCAATTGATTTTGCAGAGTTTTTGTTTTCGTAGTAATTGTTTAATTTAAAATTTTTTAAAACCTTTTCCTTTAAAACTATTTTTTGCAACATAAATATTCATAACTATAGAATTTTCTTTTTTAATGAGGATTAAGTGTGTATTAAGATTTTAGGAGTTAAATTTTAAAAAAATTCTGAAAACAGGCCTTAAATTTTTGTTGCATACAAACAGTATATATATATATAGTTTGTCAAAAAAAAAAAAAAAAAAAACCCCATCAAAATATTGAGTGATTTTGCAGGTTTGAATGGGCTTTCATCATTATATCTTACTAGTTTTACTTTCTATTAATATTTGATTGCAGAGTTTTTGTTTCATAGTAATATGTTTAATTTAAAATTTTTTAAAACCGTTTCCTTTTAAAACATTTTTAGCAACATAAATCTATCATAACTACAGAATTTCTTTAATTATAATGAGGATTAAGTGTGTATTAAGATTTTAGTAGGAGTTAAATTTTAAAAAAATTCTAAAAAAGGCCTTTACTTTTTGTGCATACAAACAGTATAATATATATATAGTTTGTCAAAAAAAAAACCCCATCAAAACTATATCTGAGTGAACTTTTGCAGGTTTGAATGAGGCTTTATCATTATATCTTACTAGTTTTTTATTCATAAAATCTTTTTTTTTTTTTTTTTTTCCTTCTTTTCGTGAAAAATCAGTTTTATTTAAGCCCTGTATTTGTTAAAATAAAAAGCATTATTTTTAATTTGTAGTTGTATTTTATTAACACTGTTTATGTATTATTTTTTAAAAGTAATATCACATTTTAATATCTATAAAGATTTCATGGTTTCCAAGCTAACTTTTTTTAAAAAATTATATATCTCAAAAAAAAAAAAAAAAAAGTTTCATAACTCAAATTTCCCATATCAGAGCCTTATATAGGGTACTGTACTCATAAAGTTATTCATGTAGTATAAAGTTGCAGTTTCTATTTCAGCCAAATTGTGTGTTTTTGTTTTAAAAAGCTCATTACTTATTCACTATCAAAAATAGGAAATTTGGCATATATTTGATCCAGTTTGATAGGTGATTTTTGGTATTTGTTCCTGAGTACTTTAGAAAAAATAATTTAAATAAATAAAAAATAGCATTAATCCACTTAAATCCACTTACTTTATAGTAAATACTATATTTAAATGCACATTTTTGTAATGTGTTCATTTAATTGGGATACAGGAATAAAATCATGTTTGAATTTATAATTCAGAAAGAAAATTTTATTTTGGAAATGTACATTTTACAGCTGATGTGCAAAATATGAAATCTTACTAAATTTAATGTATAGCAGCATACAGGTAAGGCAGTAGCTTCCAAGCTTGCGTGAAATTATTTTCTGGACATTGCTAAGCTTATAAGCACTTTAATATGCAAGTAACTGAAAAAAATTGGCATTTACAATCAGTGAAAGATCTTTTTAAAACTAAAAATTTTATTTACTATCGTAAATTTCCAAAATGCAAGTACTATATGTAACACTGAAGGTCAAAGGTAAATGAAATTGTTCCAAAAAAATATTTGACTTTTAAATTAAGTAAAAGGAACTACTCTGATATGCGCCCTCAAGTGCCAAATTTCTCGCCAAACAGATTTGGCGAGAAACAGTTTTGGCGAGAACGTATAACTTCACGCTGCCATATTACTATCTAAATTTTTTGTCTACATTTTGAAACTTTTAGCCTAAAATGTCTCAAAAGCGTGGTTTTCGCACATGCAAAAACTACGTTTTGAACACACAATTTAGCTAAAAATCCGAAACAAAAAGCAAAAAATTTAGATAGCAAAAACGTGAAAGTTTCTAACCAAAAATATTTGACAAGAATCCATGTACACAGCGACAGTTTTAACTTAAAAAAACATCTACGAATTGCACAATGTAGGCAACGAACGAATCTACAAACTACACAGACCTCGCTTTAATAAATTAACATAACAACAATAAATTTCAAAGAATACCATGTACACAGCATCCTGTTTAAACTTTAAAAAAAATTATACGAATTGCACAATTTAGGCAAGGAAGGAATCTACGATCTACGCACTCCTCGCTTTAATAAATAACATAACAACAATAAATTTCAAATAATACCATGTACACAGCGTTCTGTTTCAACTTTAAAAACATCTACGAATTGTACAGTCTAGACACTAAACAACAAAATAAACTAAAATAAATTCAAACAATTTAAAAAACAACAATAACGACAGAAATTCATACTAAAGAACCAATGAACATAACATTCTACAAAATAAGAACAAGGATAAAATAAAATGCACTTACCATGAATTAATGCGTTTTCGAATAGCAGAAATATAAATTTCATACCGCCTTTAACATGCCGCCACGTAATCACTATCGTATTTACATAACAGCCAGACACACTATCCAGAAAATTTATACTATGGTTCACAAATAAATAAAATCACAAATCCCTACTTCTATCATGCACTGCCATTAAAAATAATCTCCCAGACCCTCTTTCCATAGTTCCAAATACCCACTAACCCTCAACAGGATAGCCACAATCATATTTCCTTTTGCCGAACTTCAATTCAACAACTACCATTTTATCTTTCCCTCCCATCTTCTCAGACACAGAGGCGAACCAACGAGCTCCAGCGAAAGATTTTTCAACGTCAACAGGGTTGCCATAGAACACACAATCGAGCCAAAAACCAGCACAGAACATATATCGCCACATTTGGTGAAATTAGGGCGTATATTAGAGTTGTACCAAGTAAAATTATGTTTACTTCAATATAAGAAAGTAAAATATTTTTCTGTAATAAGATTTCAGTATAATTTATCTTTTTGTATCATAAACTATATTATAAGTTTGGATAGTAATAGTTTATAGTTCCAGCTGAAAGTCAACAGTCTGTAAGTATATATTTCATGAATAGCATAAATACATATATTACAATGTGATTTTCTTTTCTCTTTAGGATGCAATGCATTAAAAATAAACGAGATTTTTTTACCTTCTCAAATATTATAACAGTAGTGCAATTAATTTTTAAACGTTATTCAAAATTAAAGTTTCCTCTCAATTTTTTATTATTTATTTTAGATTTTCTTCCTAAAATTATTTAACCTAAACATCTTAAACAATGGTGCAAATAATTTAAAGCGATTATTAAAAATATAGATAAAATATTCAGGAAAAAAGGGGTTATCTAAAAAGGGGTTATTATATCTAAAAATAATTGTAAAAAATCGAATAACCTAATTTGAGGCTGTTGTCTGCTGACTGCCAGCAAACGGAAATAAAAAGCACTACCTGCCATATCAAAAGCGCACCAAACTGGCGATAAACAGCCTAAGCTATCACTTCCCAAGAGCATAAGTCACGTGGTATATGCTGGAGACACCCTAGCAGACGAATTTTCTGTGGGTGAGCCGTCTACCTGTTATATGAAGTCGTTGGGCAGAGACAGCGGCTAGAGCCTAACTCTCTCTTTCTTCTACCGAAACTCGGCTTTTAACTACTTCTTTCCAAGTAGAAAATTTGCATTTGTTCACACGCGCTACAACATTTACCTATTCTGGAACTGACAGTTAGGGGAATGAAGGCTTATAGGAAAGTTTAAAATAAAACTTTAAATTATTAATTAAAATAAATATAAATCTCTACAATGTTAATTTTATGAAGTCTGATGGAAGGTAGTCGATCAGTAGCTCAAAGTCATCACTATCAGGTAGACCAAGCAGATTTATTCTTGCTACACAGAAATACCGAAATTTTTGCATCTGTTCTTCCAGCGCACGGGCATAGGAATATAAAGAGCTTTAAATTTAAATTTCCAGGATTATATGAATAAGTGGATAAAATTTTTACATGTGAAAGGTAAAATATGTTGTTGCAAAAGCATTTGACAGATTGTGAGAACTGGAGTGCATTGGAAGAACAGAGACTAGGTCTGTAAAAGCCTAAAAGTAGCTAAAAGTGCAATTTCAGGAATTTAAAAATGGCTTCAACAGACTGGTGAGGTATGAAGACAACCAATTCAAGGTTGAAAACATGCCAAAACTAACTCTTGGGACTATTATTTAGCAACAACTGATAAAAGAACTAGACTACAGACATTAAGACCAGATTACAAGAATTAGTTCACTATGCCTACAGGAACTCAACTATCCAGATATACCATGAGTGAGAAACTGCCTAAAAAGGGGGCATATGCAAGGAAACCAATAAATTGTGTTCCATAACTCAGGTTATGAAGTGTGCTTGGTTGATCATTGTGCAAATATCATTGTGATAAGAGTACCATGAACTGGAGCCAAAGTCTCTGGCCTTACTTCTGTTTGAAAGTTATTCGGTTACAATTTGATGACAGCAAAACACATGCAATAAGCCAGAAAATGTTCATGAAAGGCCTCCGTATGAAGGCTGGGGAATTATACCATGGTAGGCATCATTTTGAATGGTGGCATTGACCTTCATATGTTAACTAGTCCAACAATGAAATGAATGCTGAAACATACAGAGATAAGATTCTTGATCCTTATACCAAATTCTTTAGAGGTGCACTTGATAATAATGTCATCCTAACAGACAATAATGTTTGTCCCCCATTAAGGTGAACTACCAGCCAATTACCCTAACAGCAAAGAAATCCAGAGGATGGAGTGGCACACATATTTTCCACATTTAAATGCAATAGAACACATGTGGGACACAATGGTCACTTGCATCACTGAAGCTTCCATCCCACTATTCAGAACTTCAAAGCATTATTTCTTTATTAATAAACTTTGTTTTTGCATAAATTCCTGTACCTTCAATGGCATTTTGCTAACCCTTACCTGTTTATAGTTTCTGCCTCCATCAGCAGCAAATACTGTAAGCTACACTTACTTATCACTGTTAAGTCAATGCTTAGCTGTTTAAGTGAAGAAAGAGTAATAAACAAAATTGATGTACTGAAAGAACAGATATTAAAAATGCAGCGAGGAATGTCTCTTTTTACACCCACACACATACAACAAAACAAGCCAACAAAAAAACTTGGAAGAAAACATAGATAAGGGCTACAGAAATGCCCCCAGAAGTGTTTTGTTGCCAAAATTATGGACAACCAGGTAAGTACTTAAAAACGTTTTATGCCAAAATGAAATGGCTTCTCATTGGTTCAACTTTTTGGCCCACTCATTACACATATGGTTAAATGATTTATATTTCAACATATTTCAAGTTTTTTTTAAACACTACAATATATATACAGTGGAATCTCGAGATACGAGTTTAATTTTGTTTGAGTATTGAGCTTCTACAGTGAATTTTTCGTATCTAGAAACAAACTTCCCCGTTGAAAATAATGGAAATCCAGTTAATATGTTACGCACCCCTAAAAATATATTTTCCTAAAAAATAACACTGGTAAATAATACCTGGTGTTCTTTGGAAGAAGGTCCAAGTACAGATTCTTAGCACAAATGATAGCTTTCAACACTGAATCGCCTTTTAACTGCTTCTCGTTAATTCACACCAACAACAGTTTCTAAACTTCTTCTAGGGGTTTTGGACGGTGCTTGGAAGTAACGGTAACTCCTTTGATCACAATTTCTTCCTTCTTCTTCAGAATAATGCAGATCATCGATGACAAACTGCTATTAAGTCTTCGCCAGTTCTGTCACTCTTACACCGCGCTTATGTTTATCTATGATTTTCTTTCTTACTTTCAACGGCCATGGCTTCCTTCTTTTTCTTTGCAGTACTATCCGAGCCAACAATCTTCTTGGGAGGCATCGCGAAATAATTATTTTCCCATTAAATGTAAAAAGCAATTAACTCACAAGCACACAAACAAGTAGATCAAAGAATACTGAGTGATCTGACGAAGGGATTACCTGAGTCGAGCAGGATCGGGAAACGCACAATGCATGCCAACAACCCAGCTCGTTACTTGAATCAATGCTCGTATTTAAAGATGAATTTTTTGCTCATACTTTCCTCATATCAGGAATTTTGCGTATATAAAGGTGCTCGTATCTCGAGGTTCCACTGTATGGGTGCATTCATAATGTCCAAGTCCTTACTTTATCATTAGCTCCTCTTTTAAGAAACCTGGTACCTGCAAATTTTTGAGAACGTCGAGCAATAAGAGTTAAATACACTGAGTGCCCATAAATACAAAGATCTGATATATGTTAAGGTTTCAGTACTGCACAAACATTTAAAATGATTTTGCAATAACTAGTAGTAGATTATTATTAAAGTGAATGCCAGATATCTCCACTCAAAGCTTTCATCTTATCATCTACCAAATAAAGTAACAGCAAACCTGTATCAGGAAAATATCATGTATCAGCTTTTTGATAATACTTCTATCAAAATGCATTATTGAACAGCAGTGTGTTCCAAGAGTGTTTAATGATATAATATAAATACAAATTAGTTAGACACACACAATATCAATATATATATATATATATATATATAGGTAAGAAAATTACAAAATATAATTTAAATTAGCAATAGGCCCTTAATGCTTAATTTTAATTTGATATTTCCCCTCTCTATTCTAAAAATTATAATATTTCTCTGCACTGTGTCATTTCAAGATTAATTCATGTCATATGACACTTACATAATGCTGACGATGTAAACAAAACTAAAACTCAAACAGTCAATAATAATTTTACAATAGCATTGATTCTACAATCAAATGCATTGAGAACTGAAACTAACTCATTTTGAATGAAGATTTCAGCCTGAATACAGGTCAGTTGCTTTCTACATTTTGGCTTAGTTGGATTGCTGCTTGCTGCTCTCTTCTTACTGCAAAGCTACTAAAATATAAAAGCTTTGAAATAGGAATGAGTAGCTACGAAGTTGTCTGTGGCCACAACATTTATTTATTTATTTAAAGATGAATATTTAATCTGCATCAGCTGCCCATGTTGCTCTTCATTATGGACAAACATCTATGAAATGCAGCATCCAGTTATGCTGTCAATGATTCAACATCATTACATATAAGTTGTTCATATACTGGGTGATTCAAAACTAGAGGAACAAACTCTAAAATGGGTAGATGACCTAGAATAGCATACCCATGCAGAGTCACAAATGGAATCCTAATGAGACAGGAGGGATATCAGGGGTTGTTGCAGAAAAACAGTCAACAGCCACCCACAGAGGTTTTAGTATGAAAAATATGAATACATTGTGATAGTAAATTTATATTTAAAGACCATAATTTCAGAATAAGTCATGAACTTCCCGATTACGAAGTTGCCTGAAGTTTCCTAGCTACGTGCATGGTTCTGATCTATAGTTCTACATGTTTGAGGGTGCATGTTATCTACTTGAGGGCCCTATTCACCAGAACTGTAGCTGGATTGAAGCATTACCCATTTCAAGTGCTAACTGCATATGGAAAGCCTGGAACATTTCACCAACATAGAAATGGTGCACATGCACTTTGTGTATGGTGAAGTTCACTGCAAGGAAAGGAAGGGCTGCAGCATGTTTGCATGCCGAGCAGTACTCAACATACATTAAACTACTATATTTGCAAATTTGCACCATAACCTGCCTGAATATAGGAAATTCTGTAAGCATAAGACAAGGCAGCAAATGATACATACACCTGCCTTAGAAGATGAGATATTATGTTCAAATATAACAAGCTCCTAGAACAAGCACACAAACCATGGCTAGTGATATTGCTGCATCTCCCGCTGCTCTGCGGCAGTCGAGGGGGAGGGGAGGAGCCGCGGCGCGCAATGAGTTGGAAGTTGATCTGTCAGCAATATCCTTATCTTCAGGGCAGATGTTTTTATTTTCTTTGGCTTATAATTCCTTACTAAATGTAGTATTTCATCTCGATGTACTCCGTCTTTGATATGATTTAAATCAAATTCCTCGTCATTAAATTCGCTTCCGATAGTGAAGGAAAGTGACACAGAGGTTATTGAAAACAAAAAAATTCGATTGACGAATTAGTCAGTATTCTCGACACCGCAATTTATAGGACCTGAAAAGCGGAACTTTGTAACTGCTGAACAAGAAATTATGTCTGTTTATAGAATTAAAGAGAAAGTATTATCACATAAAATGAGCAAACTTAAACAACTAGATTGAAAGAAATGTAATAATAAGTAAACAATAAATATTAAGCTTTTAAACTTAATAAAGTAAACAAAAAAATATAAGCTTTTTTTTTTTTTTTTTTTTTTTTTTTTTTTTTTTTTTTTGAAATTTTGATACTCTTTAGATCAAATTGTTCTTTATTTCATAAATTACTGTATTATGAATTATATGCATTCCATCTTACCAGATTTAAACTGATGATCTATAATCCGGAATCGCCAAAGTCCCGACGAGTCCGGATTAACGACTTTTGACTGTATTATGAATTATACGTATATTTTAACAAGTAGATAGGCTATTAAAAACTATAAAATTTATTATTGCTCCTAAATCTCTCAGCTTTTTCAGCAATATATTTGAAAAATAAATTAAAATCTTATGTCATATCAAATTGTAACACTTTGTACACTGGCCGCATAGATAAATTAAAGAACGTGTAGCTCACGCAATGAAAGTATCTTTCAGTGTCACTTTAGATAATAAATCTATACAAGGGTTATTCTGAAAATCTTAAGAATTTGTATTAATATTGGTAATTATCAAAATCATTTCCATAAAATTTTCTCAAAAGAATCTCTCTTGAAATTAATACAGCTTTTCATCCTTTTAAACATTTATTAAACACTGCTTTTATTAATTGCCTGTAAGCTTTCAGGTGAGTCAAATATAATCCAGGACAGAAATAAGAAGTCACAAGAAGCTAATTCTGGTCTATAAGGTGGATGATCAAGATTTTGAATTCCTAATCCCTTAAAACTGGTATTTATTCTTTTTGAGTGAATTGTTGCATTGTGATAATGCAATAAAATACCTCACAAATCCTATTTCTAAATGTCTAATTCTTATTTTTAAATACATCAGGAAAGTATATTGCGATACACAATTTGTTAGTCACTGTTCTTTGATTTTCTAGCATCACGATTTCAACTATACCCACATTCACCCGAAAGAAGTAAGTGCATACCATTTTTTTTCCAATACATAACCCTATTGACTTTGGTGAAAAGATTTTCTTCAAAAAACTTTCCATACTGTAGCTAAATATTTGAAAGAACAAGGATTAATAACTTCATGAAAGAACAAGGATTAATCACTTATTGTTATGCAAAAAATCACTTCTGATAGGCCTTTTTCATTGCACTACCAGGCAATAAGGAATCCAATGACTGCAAAAATTTGCAATTTCAAGTTTTTTTATGCAGAATATTTCTAAGATCTTCCAATACAACATTTACAGCGTCTTGAACAATTTACGGTGTCATCCAGCATAAATTACATGCTTGCTTTCTTTTAATATATACAGCACAGATATAATAGTTATCTTTAACTTGCAAAGAATATTGCTCCCTTCTGAATTTATCAAACTATCTCTAAATTGTGGTTTAGGAAGAAAAAGATCTCATAAAAGCACTACATACAGCATTACAATCCTTGGTGTTCATTTAACGTTTTTGGTGTTCATTTAACTTACAATCCTTGGTGTTAATTAAGCTTTAAAGTTCAAGAAAATTACAGCATGAAAATATTTAGAATTGAGCTACACAGTGATCCATAACTATGCATCAATTAGACAAAAACAAAATGGTCTTTTGCCACATAAATTTGCTCTAAATAGTCTTTCAAATGTTCTCTCCACACAAAACACAAGGCATTTTATGAAGCAGGTGTTTCATAGCTGACATTCTCAAAGCTTTCAGTGTAACACACATTCTCCAGTAGCATAATATAATGTAATGGCCTACAAAATTTGAAAACACTCTACTGAAAATATTTCAAAATATCAGAAATTTATCTTTAGTCAGAAACCTTCAAATATGCTTTCACAAAGCATCCGAAATAAATGAGAATCCACCAGATGCTATTTATGCAACTGAAAAGGATGCCAAGCTGTTGCACAAAATCATCAGAATAGATGAATAACAGTTCCTTTTTATAATCTTCAGATTAAATATCAACCTTTTACATAAAAGTATCCAATATTTCAGATTATATTTTTAAAACTACCATCCAAGTCGACTGCTCAAAACAGAAGAAAGTAGAAATGCCAACACATCCAACTATCTGCAGATGCCTTAACAGAGAAGCTATCAGTGTAAAAAGCTTTAGATATTACACAGCTATGGACCAGGTCCTTCAACACAGTGTTTCACCAGTTCTTGCTCTAATTTGTTTTGCTTAAAGTATGCTTGGCACTATCTGTCTGCATTCTTCATTTATATCACACCAACTTGCTATTTCTTTTTACTTCCTTGTACTGCAATCTCGAAAAAATTTGGGTATCATATTTCAAGGAAAATATCCTATTCAACCGCTTTCGAAACCATTTGAATTATGGTTTTGCATGACATCTGTACATATCGACAGAATAAAGGACTGTTTTCGCCAAAAACGATTGTAAAATAGATTTAAAATGGATTTAGAAGATTTTTTTTTCCTTGATGTTGGTATGTACGTATGTATATATGTATCTCGCATAACACAAGAACAATTGTTCTTCAGTTATGAAAGATACATATATTACTATTGAATGTTGAAATTTTGCATATGGGACTGCTACAGCATGTAGTTGTGCACCTACCTATTTTGCTGCAATTGCCTGCGGCTGCACCAATCATATATAAATATATACATATATATTCCCACTCTGTTACCTGGTTCTCTGAGCTTAGTTTTCGTTCTTATATGTTAGTAAATTGTGCATTTTTTGCTTTAAAAGTAATTGAATTATGTAGTTTTTATGTTCTGGTTATGGTTTTTGTACCTTTAGTTATTCTGCATGGAACTGTTGTAGAATTATCAACAATTTAAAAAAAAAATAAGTGTAGAGTGAAGCCTAAGGAACTGCTAATTGTTTACATTTGAACGCAGTACAATAGTGAATTCAGTTTCTGCACTTTCAATGTCTTTTTGTCGCGTGAGACCAAAAGTAAATTTTCAGTTTTGTGGACTGATCTGCCTTCTTACCCGTTAACAGAATTGCTTGCTTTTGAGTAGAAACTCTAATTTTAACTGCAAAAATTGTTGTTTTTAACTGTATTTGGTGTTTTATGTTTTTTCTGTATTTTAGAATTTTTAATGAAGATGTTTTGAGATTTTAAGTATTTTTGCTTTGTCGCTACGTGAGAACTGAATTAATTGAATCAGAAATATATCTCTCATGAAAGTCAACGAAATACGTTCAAATGAAATGCAGCAAAAAAATGTGTATAATTTAATACGCCATACAAAGAAGTGATGTGGTGTTCACATCAGATTTTTTCAGAGATAAACACACAATTAAAGAAAAAAACACATATTGATGAGAGATGTTTAGTTTAAAATTCATAAAGGAAATAGGATATGCACTATTTACAGAAGTGATTTTGAACAGTAGCATCAAATCCTTGTTAACTACATCAAAGAAGTCAATAGAAACTTATTTATACTGACAGCGGATATAAGAAGAAAGACCGTGTGATAAAGACGCTGAGAAAGTACCTTTGAAGGATGCTGAAACACTAAAGAAATGCACAGAAATGTTTAGAAGAGTTATAAAAGCACAGGCACAACTATATACTGCAGAAGAACAGATTTGCAATTTGGATATGTTTAATGGAATATCAAAATCAGCAAACCTGGCAACAATGCAAACAATTCTAGAATGTTTTGCTAGTAAAACATTTAAAAATTGTGGTAGCCAGATCTACATTCTTCTCTTAAATGTTTCTATTAAAGAAACATAACTGTTTTTTCTTCCTAGAAAGGGAAAACAAAAACTTTAGCCATATGTATGTTATAGTCAAATGTATATTGAATTTCCAATACATAACTAATTTAAATGATAATTAATATTTTGGAATTTTAATTTTAAATGAACAGAAAATATCTGATTTATTTGATGGCAACATGATAACTCTCTCATATTTATACATAAAACTTGTGCAAAGGATTATGAGATTCATGATTAGCCTGCTGACATTCCAAATTAATTATTACACAATAAAAGGATACTAGCTTGTCCAACAAAACCATGTGTAATATATAATAGCCAATCAGGATGTAAATCAACCTGTTCCAGCAGATAGGAATTCCAGACAAACCTCCAATGAGGTTTCACTTTGACACCATATATAACTTGACCTACAGAAATAAAAGGAAGCACGCAAAATTATTCTGCAGTAAAAATTATAAAAGTATTCAGTACTTCCTTACTAAAGTGGCCACTGAATAAGCCTTCAGCAAAATTTGAAATTTGCGTTATCATTTGAGTTTGCCAATTTTGCCAAGTGGGTGGTCGCTTTAATAAGGAAGTAAATTGTTCTATTAAATGTTCTTTTCAGGGCTGACTGAAAATCTTAAAGAAAACCTTTTTAATTTTCAATATAAGATGAGGCAATTCTGTATTAGGTCTTGTTAAGGTAATCATTGATATACTGAAGTTGAAGAGCCATGGTTTTTTATACTTGTTCACAGCAAGTGAAAGCAAATAGTACATTTTGACATTGTAGATATGGAAGATATCTCTGTGAAAGTACAGGAGAGATATATTTGAATTTTTCATTCATCTTGGGTAGAGAAGGAATGAAATACCTGAAACACACTCATATGTAGACCTTGCACAAAAAAAAAAAAAAAAAAAAAAAGGGGGGGGGACAGTTATATATCTTTCGTTCTCCTGAACTGATTGTCGAAATTTAGCTTGCATTTTCCATGTCTCGAAAGCGCGACTTAGGATATATATTAGATTCATATATAGGATTGTTCTAATGTAGATATTTTGACACAAAATCAAATTTTTTACCAAAATAACATACCTAATTTTTTCCATATTTCGATTCCATGAGTCAAATTATGACAAAGTGCCAAGTTTTGTATCAATCACATGAGTGGTTTTTTAAAAATTAATCTTCAAAATTTTAGCTCCTCTGTGTTAATTGAATTTGGTATATATTTATTAATATATCTTTTTTAATTAAACTTATCTGATTCTTCCTTTCGCATTTTGAAATTTTAAGTTCATTCCGAATAAATTTAAACATTCTTTAGGATTTTTTTTAAAATTTGTACTTTAAAATAAAATAATATGTATAAGTTTTTCAAAAAAATTTTTTGATTTATAACCTATAAAGTTTTTACCATCATCTTAGAGTAGATGTATTTCTAAGCATACAAGCAAAAAAATTAGAGGTTTTTATTCAAATTTTCCTGCAATATATGTGAATTTACATTCTGGCATGTTTTGAAGATCGGCATATTTGTTATGAGTGATATTAACACCAAAAGTGCTTTACCAATTTCGTCAAAATTATTTGAAAGTACGAACAATGCACCATTTTTCTGCTCATGCACAAAAAAAAAAAAGGAAAAGAAATTTGATTGCTATAAATTAAGAAGTTCGGCAAGTGAATTATTTTTGGCACAAACTGAAAAAAGTGCGCCAAGATAAATTTTTCATGGTATGTTTCTCACCAAATTTTACAAAATTTGATAATTGGGCATAATTTGAGTCATAGAATCGAAATAAAAAATTGGCATGTTATTTGAGAAAAAGTCCTATTTTGTGTCAAAACACCTATGTTAGAATAATGCTATATATAAACCTAATATATATCCTAAGTTGTGCTTTTGAGACACGGAAAATGCAAGTTTAGTTAGGATTGGTCCAGTAGAATGGGAGATATAGAACTGTCCACCTTTTTTCTTGTGTGTGTGTGTGTGTGTGCAAGGTGCATGTGTATGATGGTGAAAACTCAGTTGTACTGCAGTATTCTAATACTACAGTCACGCCAAAGAGGTTAATACAAAGTGATTAATAGCATATTCTGGCAGGCCATACACTACAGTTACAGAAACCAATTCTATCAAAGCGTAGTCAGATAGCAAATGATAACTATTATATATAATGAACTAATTATGCATTCATCAGAAAGGACTAAAAGAACACATTTGCTCCAGAAACAAGAGTTTTAACTACAGAGCAATGCTTCGCTGCATGTTGCTACCAGGCATTGGCAGAATTGGCTGAAATTGGAGGGACAGCACTAGAATACCTCCCAGATAATGCCAAGTGCTAGATCTGGACATTCTCAACACTGAACGGTCACTTGCAAGTAAATAAGTTCTCTTCACATAAAGATGAAGGAAACACCATGTCAGCAGTGTTCAAAGAGATACCACAAAATCATCTATTTCACGTTTTTGAATTCTTCATAAAATCCTGTAAAAATGCATTTCGCTGTGAAAGATTTTACTTTGAAAAAATATGAAGAACCATGATATCACCTGATTTTGAATTAAAAAAATATTAGATTTAAAACTTTTCTATCAGCTTACATACAGTCTATAATTCTGTAATTTTAAAAATATATAATCAGCATTAGATAAGATAATGGAAGTTGATCATTGAATAACAGATCACTAGGCTTCTGTAGGCCTAGAAGAAAAGGATTCTATGCCTATGCCTGTAGGCCTAGGCTTGGAAGAGGGAAAATAACTGAGTATGCATAAAATACTATTAAAATATTTCTATATTTACTACATTATTATGTTTCTACATTTATTTAAAACACATAAATTTACACCAAAAACACTTCATTATGTGCCTGTCTACTACAATTATTCCAATGAACCCATAAATTCCCTCATCAACAGTGATTAAAACTGTCAGATTCTGAAAGATGTACATAATGCTCTCAAGTAAAATGACTCAGTTTGATCACAAAGCAATCCGTTCCTATAAAATAATGGATTCTGCACATAGCCCACTGCATAACTAGCTCTTTATAGGAATTCACCTGGAGTTACTGGCTCTTTACATTCTGGACATTGATTCAAGTGATTTTCACTTGGAACAGTGAACTTTATTCACACTCTTTAGCCCTTTCAGGATGGGCATTCCACATACACATTCCCTAAGAACGTCTCTTACAGCCAGGCGTCCCATCCACGCATCAGTAAAGACCACATTCAGAGGACGGGTGATGCGTATACGCATTTTAAGGTGGAATGTTTTTCTGAAGGCCACTAGATGGCATCCTGTGTCCATTACTTTTGAAATGAACACAGTTTTAAGTTCCCGACCTTGAGTTTGATATATTCTGCTTGACTTTGGTATTTTACTCATCAGCTGTTCGAGGGGGGGGCGTAGGGAAAGCGTAAACAGAGATGTGCTCTTTAAATCGCTGCGTGCTAATGAAAACATTCTCGTATGATTTATATCCAATCCTTTTTTTTATTCTATTTTTTCCTCTACTATGTACGGTCTTTTAGAGTTACTGTGTGGAGTTTTTTTACATTTTGCATTGCCTTCAGATATATTTCCGTTCCTTCTTTTTTTATTTAGGAAAGCCTCACCTCCGGTCTATTATGGCCGGAAGGCGCTATTTATCAGAGGAAGAATACCCTCGTATGGTTAGTGAACCATTTAGTAATGCAAATGAGAATACTGATTCATTTTCTAAAGAGTTAAAAAGTGATACTTCTCTGTGCTTCGAGATTTACCACACTCGTTTTCATTTTAAATTTTGTTACTTTTTACTGTAAATAGTCTTTATTGTGTTTTTTTATTAATTTAAACTTATTGAGGATTTTATCAATTAAAACTTTGGAATATTTGAATAGCGCTTCCGAAAATTATTTTAGAAGAGATAAGCAATTTTTAAGTATATTGTCATGTAAATAAGAAAAAAATGTTTTAAGGGCTAATTTTAAACATAGTAAGAGCTCAAGTAATAATATAAAATGATACCAAAAATTATGATACTAGAAGCGAAACTTTTGTTTTTCTGATTTTTGTTATAAAATTAGGCTTAGCGATGCAAAACCTCCATCCTGTACAGTGACTGCCTTCGATTCTCTTCCGTCCCGCACAAGCGTCTTAAACAAAGGTACGCCGTTGCAAAAAGATTAAAGGTATGAAAGTTCCTACAGTAATGAGAATGTGAAGTAAACAGCCTAATTATTATATTAGCGTACTGAGAAATCACTCTACACCTGAAAATCAAGCAGTATATAGAATATTGCTAGAATAAATGCATTAATGTAGATATGGCTTATCCACAGAAATTCACTTGTGGGGACTTATTATGATTTACAGAGATCGGAAGTATGAGAAATAAATAATACCCTCACTAGAAAGATTATCAACCACACCACTTAATGGGTGACTGGGGAAAGGTACGAGATCCAATAAAAAAAAAATGGCAATGAGTTATTTTCCACCATATTTTAGTTTAGATGCTAATGTAGAGACTTTTAGAGTCATAAAACACGAGAAATCAGTTTCCCTTGCCAGTATTCAAATCACAGATTTTCTAAATGCTAGCGGAATGTTTTAGAGAGGGACTGCTGGCAATAAGGGCACTAACAAAACCAGTAAAGCATATGCAAGGGAGTGCTGCAATTCTTCATATATATATGTTCTATTTTTCTAAAAAAATTAGAGTCACAGTGTGTAAATTGTTCAGAATCTCCTCTATTATATTACATACAGATTTGGCTTGAAACAGAAGCAAAACTATCAACTAAAGAAAACTTTGCAATTTTTGAACTTAAAAAATTAACCTAATATTTTTAATGTCTGCATAGGCTGTAATCTATTGCTTCAAAATGCCTGAAGTTCTGTATCGTTGTTCTTCTCCCAAACTAAAATGTCTTGCATTCTTATTATACAACATTTCAGAACTTTCAGTTTTGGTTACCTGATTTCCTGTTTAAGCATTTCAGTAACAGAATACTTATGAGTATGGAAAGAGTCATATATTTTCCATATTATAACATTATAGAATGGGCTATATGAGAGGCAGCTAATAATTGATTTAATTCTAAGTAGGCTGAAAATCTGATTATTCATGAAGCATGCAATACCAGTAACAACTACCAAGGATTTATCTCCACAACCTTTTCAAGTTTTGTTGCTAGCACTAGTAATGACAGCATATATTTTGTTTGACTTTTATACTATTTCATCACTATTACAAATATTTTTTCCCACAATTATGAGTGATTAAGCAAATCTGTCTAAGAAAGACCATGTAACAATGATTAAACAATGATGACATTATTATGAAACCTGATTTCAGTACTTCTAATTGATAATTTTTATTCTAACAGAATGAGCCTATGTCTTCAAAACTAAAATCATTCTAGTTTATAATCTAATGAAGGACAGTTAACCAGCACATACAGTTCTCCAAATCAGTCCTTAGCAAAAGGTTGATTACACCAATGTGGATAATGAGCCCTAGCAGATTGAAACACATTCCATTTTCAGTACAACAGAAACTGCATATCTTACTAATGCTGATAGCGCTTTGAGAAATTTGTGTCTACTAATGTATGATTTTTGAAAGTTTCATTAAATGAAACCAATATGCTGCTGGTCTTATATTATAGCCAACTTTAAAATCTGGATTAAGAATGAATTTTGAGAAAGGTCTATCGGACTTTGTAACACCACAGATATCCCACAAAATTTTCAGTAAATGTATTCCTAAAGAACTAAAATTCAACCTGCGTTTTTCATGTCTTGAAAGCGCGACTTCAGGTTTATATATTGTATTGTTCTAAAATAGGTATTCTGACAGAAAATCAGACTTTTTCTAAAATAACATACCAATTTTTTTCCTATTTCATTTCTACGACTCAAATTATGCCAAAGTGGCAAGTCTTGTAAAAATCATGCGAGTAGTTTTTAAAAAATAAGCTCTCAAAATTTTAGCTCCTCCATGTTAATTAAATTTGGTATACATTTATTAATATCTTTTTTATTAAACTTATTTGATTCTTACTTTCACATTTCAAAATTTAGGTTCATTCCAATTAAAGTTTGCCCATTTACTATGATATATTTTTAAAATTTGTATTTTCAAATATATTTTATGAATTTTTCGAAAAACACTAACCTATAAAATTTTTAACATCATCTTAAAGTAGATGTATTTCTAGGCACCCCTGCAAAAAATTAGAGTTTTTTATTCCAAATTTTCTAAGATATACATGAATTTACATATTGACATGTTTTAAAATTTGGCATCTTTTTTTAAGCGATAATAACGCCAAATGTGTTTTACGGATTTTATTAAAAATTATTTGAAAGTAGAAAATATGACTTTTTTCCCACTCGTCTATGATTAAAAAAGCAAACTGAAAAAAATGTGGCAAGATAAATTTTAAAATTTCTGCAAAACTTTCTCACCAAAAATTACAAAATTTAATATCTAGGCAATTTGAGTTGTAAAATTGAAATACAGAAAAAAAATTGGCATGTTATTTCAAAAAAAAAGTCTGATTTTGTGTCAAAATACGTATATTGGAATAATGCTATGTATAAATCTAATATACATCTTAAGTCGTGCTTTCGAGACATGAGAGACGAAATTTGAATTTCATCAATTGGCTCAACAGAATGGGAAATATAGAACTGTCCGATCCCCCCCCCTGCAATGTACATTCCCGTGTAGAATACTTTGAGTCACAGACGCAAAATGTTGCGCTAATTGTTATGTTATGTTAGTTAAAAAAAATCAGAGCTAGGAAGGTACACTATTCTTAGAAGACACTATAAAAGATAATAAGATTTTGATACTTCCTTATTAATGTAGCTACTGAAATTAGTTGCCAAATTATTAAACTTAATCACCAAATTTGTATCATGAAACTTATTTGATTCTCAGATTCATTTATCAAAAAACTACTCATTGGCCATCATAATAAGAATTTGACTCATTGGCCATCATAATTTGTGGGAAAAAAATTAATTTTTGGAATAAACCAACCTATCAAGCTCTTTTTCTTCGATATAATACTATACGAAAGAACACTATGTTATATGTTTCTTCAAGGCTCAAAGAACATTTTGCTAAGCCCTGGTATATCTGGTATATCTCCCTGTTTAAAATCTATATTAAATATTTCTGTAAAATAAAATTAAGTAACATAAAATTCTTTTATGATTATACACTACCCAAACTGTAAAATATTCAAACTACAATTTTAAAAACTACACGCATTTTAGGTAACTAAAACTCGCTATATTAGATAACTAACATTCACTCAATGAGTACTAATTACTACATAACAGACCAATATAATATGCTTAGAACATACCTGATTCCTTTGGTAGTGATGACAAATCTTCATTTGATCTCAGTTCTGACCAAACAGCATTATCGCTTTCGGAAGAGTTATCAAATTGTGAGGAGCCACTCCTGGATTGAGTTTTAGTAGGAGCCTCATTGTCCACAGAATTCTGAAAAAAATTAAGTAAAAACTATTTTCCAAAGGGAAAATATTCTTCACATAAATTATATCTTTCCATATGAATATAAAAATAATAAGGTTATAAGCAGTAAAGAAATTTAGTTTAGTTAATTAATTATTGCAATGTACCTGAATGTTAAATGCTAGTGTCAGAACATTCAAGAAACTTTCTTGCACTTTAAAGACTTTCTTGCACTAACGCCAACTATAGAAAAACAGCAAAAATCAAAAATATTCCACGCAACCAACCTGCTCAGTTCAAAAAAAAAAAAAAAAAGTCCAAATATGGCATTTTTACTTCCCTGTATGAAGGAAGTATTGTAATCATGAAAAACTTCAGGCATCATATTTCAACGAAAATATTCATTTTGACTGCTATCGAATGCAATTTAATGATGCTGTGAAATACGTACACATACGTATCTCACATAACTCAAAAATGAGTAGCCTCAGAACATTGAATTTTGTATATAGGATTGCTATAGCATGTAGATGTGCACCTCATATTTTGTTTGCAATTGGCTGCACCAAATGTATATAAATATATTTATATATACATCCCCTCTGTTACCCGGCTCAGTGATCTCAGTTTCTTTACTTTTATATGTTTGTAAATTATGCATTTTTTTTCTTTAAAAATGATTGAATTATGTTGTTCTTATCTTCCGGTTAAGGTTTTTATGCCTTTAGTAAATCTGAAAGCAATATTTGTACAATTATCAACAATTTAAAAGCTGTTTAAGTGCGGTTAAGCCTTTAAGTTTTTAATAATGTGGCGGACACATTTGTTTACATTTGAAACAGCAGAATAGTAGATTTGTTGCCAATCTAGAGAGACTAAGCTTCGCAACAACAAAGATAACGCCTTCATTTATCATTGCAAATTATATCATGCATAATCCTTTCTGGAATTTATTCAAGGAAATAAGTGTTTGAGATTTACTTCATAATTTTCAATACAGATGTTTTGAGTTTTTATGTATTTTTGCCTTGTCGCGAATTGAGAACTGAATTAATTGAATGAGAAATACTGAATCGTCTGTAAAAAACTGTTTCTTTCTTTTTTTAATTTCTTTTATACATCATTTTAGATTTATTACAGTATTTGAATAGAACATGTGGCAACAATTCTTAAGATGATATAAATTTTGTGCATTCTGAGTTAATGAATGAAATGTAATGCTGTTAAGTAAACCTAGGGCCAGAGTATCGCTATGGTAATCAAATATAGTGAATTTTAAAGAGTGCATTTATTTTATTGTGGTTTAAGCGCTATCGACAAAATAAATTTAATTCAATAAGTTAAAATGGAATGCGAGAAAAAAATGCATATAATTTAATATTCCGTACAAGGAAGTCATGTGGTGTACACATCAGATTTTTTTTCCCTCACAGCTATACAAATAATAAACCTATATAACTCTTCACTTTCATTTTTGAAACATACTAGTTCTGGTATTTTTTCCATTAAAAATTTAATTTCATTTTATTTAACTGATTGCATAATATATTTAATACAGAGAATGCAATTATAATTTTCAGAGGATAATTAAAAAAAAAAAAAAAACAAGTATCCCTTTTTAAAGTTGTGACAAATTTAGGCAGAAGCAATTAAAATTACTTATTTAAAAACATTTTACCCTCAGACTCTGAAGAAAATCATCTGCTACTTCTTCTTCAGCTCCTTCAATGGTCTTCAACTGAGGGGTCCAGAACGGAGTAGATTTTGACTGATCTACATCTGATGACATGTTGAAGTAGGACAGTTCTTTCAGCACAGCCATATTATACTGAAGAGTGTGTGTTAAATCATAACTGTAGCTAAGAAATTTAAAAAATAAAATAATAATAAATTTGATTACATATATATCAAAGAACATCTCAAAGAAAAAAAAATGAATATATACCTTATTTACTCGTACAGTTCTCTCCTTCAGTTTTCCTAATAGTTTTTTTTTTTTTTTTTTTTTTTTCAGCATATGCTTTAGAAATTTCTGATTTATAGTAACAATGTTAAATGTATACATAAATAGGACAGTATTTTGTGTAAGTAAAAGTAATATTTTTGAAATCGGTAAGTCTTTTGAAACACATAATATAATAATAGTAGAATATCTTTATGCATTCTTTTTAGTGTGCTATATTTATCATTATACAACAGGTACTTTTTTCCTGCGTGTTTTCAAGCAGTAAAATTAGTAGGAAAAGGGGGTAAAATATGTGAGTAAATACAACATATAAAAATTATACATTAAAAATAACACAATCAACATATGTTAAATATATTTATTAAAATAATATAAACAATAAACATTAAAAAATAAATTGTTCCCAATGCTTTTCTGTAGTTTAAACATTAATGTTCTATGATATCCTCTGATTCTCAAATACTACATCACGTTAAGTGCACTTAACCTTTTAAATGCCACACAATGCAAAAGTAACATATGCATTTTGTGGTATGATTTATAACATGTAAATGGAACACTGGCAGGCAGGAAACAGTTTTTTTACATGATTTTATAAAACATGATTAATAACATTTAAATTGAAAACGATATTATTGTCTGCAATTTTTCAGTATTAGTAAGTGAATTTTCAAATGTTATTCGGAAATAACACATATTAAGCAGAAAAACAGGCAGGCTAACAGTAATAAAAAAACTGTCCTATATAGTTTTCATTTACAACTAAAATTTCTCCTTCCTGCATTGCATAAAGTCCTGTCATAATTGCTAAATGCAGAAAATATTCTCTAGTTACAAACTTGTGAAAAGTCTTAACTGGAGACAAACTAACTAGTTTACTAAATTTGCAAATATTTTCAATGCTGCCAGTTTTTAGAACTTTGCTAAAATTAAAAATTTTTCCCCACCAATATTCAAACTTTTTTTTCCATTTGACTTTTTAGTTTTCGCTTCAAATTCGGTCTCCCTTTGAAGATGAATGTTCTTGAGGATCAAATGTGATTTCATGAGATATTTCATCATCATCTATTTTATTAGAAATTTAGAATTTTTCACATACATTCGCTGGCAGAACAGGTTCAAAAATATCTTCATTTACATCTTCCTCATCTGTCAAATATCCATTTTCTTTTTGAAGGCAGTTGACATACATTGATACATTCTTCATCACCTGATAATGTATAAAAATATTCCAATGCCTCTTAAACAGTCTGAAATGGTTTTGAATGAGACATCAGCATAATGCATGTTCACAAACTGATGAAAAATGGAAATCTCTAATCACAATTCCAATCCACACTGTTGTATGGATTTATATTTATTTTAACTAATAATTTAAAGTTTTATTTGAAACATTCCTATAAGCCTTTATTCCCCTAATTGTCAGTCCCAGAATAATTAATGTTGTAGCGCACATGAACGAATGCAAATTTTCTATTTTGAAGGAAGTAGTTAAAAGCCGAGTTTCGGTAGAAGAAAGAGAGAGTTGGGCTCTAGCTGCCGTCTCTGCTGTAGGTACGTTTGCTTATTGCTGGTTCAAGTGGCTTAATTGCATTGCTTTGCTACCACTAGCTTTAGAAGGGGGTTGAAGTTATGGGATCTCACTGAGCCCTGTAGGCTAGTTTTATCACTTGTTAATATTTCAACTTTTAGTTTAAATTTTCTGACTTTCAGTTATCGTCCAAGTAGAGGCGAAGTTTGTTAGCGTCAAGTTGACGCATTGTAAATTTTAAAGAGTTAATAAAGGGTATGTGAACCCTTCTCCTGTGTAATTTCCTGTTATTACAATTTTAGATAGAAGTTAACCCACCTGGACTCTACACTGTAATAGCCTTTACAGCTGAGTCACAAACTATCTCTAGCCTGTCAAAAAATGCCACTTGCTTTCCTCTAACAACTGTAACCCACTTCAAATCCTTACGGGAATCTGTGAGGGGAGAGGAGGAGGGGGAATATGAGAGTCGAAAACAGATCAACAGTCATAAACATCTTTTCTCGATATTTTCTGAAAATTTTCCCATTTGCAAAATCTTTCTCTTTGCTTCTACTCACTGTAAACAAAGTAATGTTATCGCGTTAAAAAATTTACCTTTACACACCAATGTTCCCTTTCTGAAGCATCCACATTTCTTAGCTCATAGTAGAAAATAATTATCATCTTTCTATGATAACTTATTGTCTATCAATAAAATAATCTTTTTTAATTACTCTCATTGATTTATAAAAGCACTTTTTGAATTTTTAATTTTATATGAATTTTTGAATTTTGCTCGGAAAAAAGTAAGAAAAAAGGTGAAACAATGATTTTTTTATCAAGACACTATTTATTTTAGCAATATTGTATTGCTGCTAAAAAATCAATCCATATTTTCTCCATATGTAATAATTTTTACAAAATAATATGAATAAAATTGTATTTTTTATGAAATTTTAAAATTGGTGTGTAAAAGCTTAAAAGAAGATAAGCCCCATCAATGTCTAATTAGTTAAAGAGCACTGAATGCGGCATATTTACCCAAATTTGATCTCAAGCAAACTGGCTGGCTGCATGGTTGGTTTCCATGGCTTTCCTCATGCATAATGTGAATATGATGCAATTTTCTTTTGAAAGAACTCCATGAAGGCGTTAGTGCCTGGAAATAGCTGAAGGTTTTGCACCCCCTCCTGTTTAACAAGAACGCAAAACCTTCAATTCTAAAATTTCATAACACCAATTTGCTGCTTCCTGGAATGCTGTGTCCAGAAACAGTTGTCCCCCCTTACTTATGCTTATGATTAGATTTGATTTGAATAAAATTGGGGTAAAAAATTGATCCCCAATTTCATCAAAAACTTTCAAATCTAATCAAAAACTTTCAAAAACTTTCGAGTCGCGTTTCAAGAATTCTGTTAAATTGCAAGCTTGCCTTACTTCGGTCCGTGATAAGGGATACACGTCAACAATTGTCCAAAGTTGAACATGAACTCTATAAGCTTCATCTGGAACTCGCTAAATCATATCCAAAATTCACTGGCCTTGAGCAAAAGTCTTGGTCTAGAACGGAGAATGCAGTTAACCGTCATAAAACACACCCTTGCAGTTAAATTCGAAAAACTTCTTTACAGTACGTCTCCAGTTCAAGTAGTTCAAAAAATCTTCCCATTGTAAACATCAAGCCAATAGTTAATATTTCTAATGTTAGTCTTTCAGAAGAACAAGAGAGAATTCTAAAATATAATTTTAACTTCTCACAAACCTGTAAACTCTCGATTCCAAAGATTTTGGCTCCTATCGAAAAAGCTTTCAAGTTCAGTAAAGTTTCAGATTCACAGAAAGAAATGATTAGGCATCTTATCGCTCATAATGTGAAATTCAATAATAAACCTTTGAAACCAAATCTAACTGCGAGAGAAAGAGCTACAATGCGCGAAATTCATTCTAAACCGGATATTATCATTTCAAAGGCCGACAAAGGTGGCCAGATAGTCGTCATGGATAAGAACACTTACATCGATGGCGTCACTAAACTCTTAAACGAAGGACCATGTAATCCGATCCCTAAAGATCCTTCACCTTCGGACTTATTCCAAATAAAAACTGCGATCAAATTTTCGCAAATCATTTCAAGCAACTTAAAACATTCGCTTATCCCATCTGTTGCGAATTGTGCCAGATTATATGCTCTTCCCAAAATTCATAAAAGTGGTATTCCTTTTCGCCCTATTGTATCAAATTTAGGTACTGCCTCGTATCCTTTAGCTAAATATTTAGTTTCTAGATTTTCCACTCTATTAGAAAATAACATTTACACCATAAAAAATTCAATAGAGTTTGTAAAAAAGGTTAAAAACATTTCTCCTAGTAATTTACTCATGGTTTCTTTTGATGTAAAATCATTATTCACCAATGTCCCAGTGGAGGGTGCATTAAGATGTCTAGAAACCAGACTTCGCGAATTTCATTTCTCTTGCATCGAAATTGATGAGCTAATTTCTCTTACTTACTCAACTCTGAAACAAACACATTTTGTTTTCCAAAAAATATTACAAGCAAACTGAGGGATTAGCCATGGGAAGTCCCCCTCAGTCCCATCCTGGCTGATATCTACATGCATTATTATGAATCAAAATTGTTTGAAACTTTAAACTTCCCGGCATGGTTCCGCTACGTAGACGATACTTTTACCCTGTTTGAAGGTAATAAAGATGATTTAAATAAAGTTCTTTCAACAAAGAATTCTATTGATCCTGCTATTCAGTTCACTTTTGAACTTGAGACTTGCAATTCTCTTCCGTTTCTCGACATTCTGGTCACACGTAACACATCCAACTTCAGTACTACAGTTTACCGTAAACCTTCATCGGTTTGCCTTCCACCACACACTTTAAATCATGTCATCCGACTAAACAAAAGTTAGCTTCATTTTATTCCTATGTTTTCCGTGCTCTTCAAGTTTGCTCCTCCAAACTAGCCCTTGATGAAGAACTAAATTATTTAAAAGCAATAGCTATTGACAGGGGCTTTTCACCCAACATTATTAATCAAGCAGTTAAAAATTCTCATCTCAACACACTAAAAGCCACACTCTTATTTTAGGAGATTATAAAAATTCTGTTGTCATTCCCTTCTTTCCATCAATTAGCTATAAAGTTGCACATATTTTGCAGAAATTTAACTTTCGGGTGTGTTTTTTTTCTCCCATCAATAAAATTCCAACTTCTATACTCAAGGACCCCATTCCGGATATGAATTCCTGGGGTATTTATAGGATTCCTTGCCAGTGTGGTTTAATTTACATTGGCCAAACTAAGAGAGCCTTAAAATTTCGCATCAAAGAACATGAGGCATATGTTAGAAAAAAGGAAACACAGAGGTCTTCTGTTGCTCAACATTGTTGGTCCGAAAATCACACTTTCAATTTTTCTGCTGCCAAAATTATTCAAAAAACATCTTCCATTGGAGAACTGGATTTTCTAGAGGCATTTCACATTCATAAAAATCTTTCTGTTCTAGTTAACGATCCTAATTCCAATCCAAATTTGCCTTCGGCTTTTAGAGAAATTATGTTTTAGTTCTGGTTTCACCAACAGATGGCGCCACTTGCTTATTCTTGTCTAGGCTTTCTTATCTTATCTAATCATTATTTCCTATCTTGTTCATTTGCGGTTTTGCAGCTGAAGATGATGGTTCGGTAAAACCATCGAAACTAGTCCTGTGAAAATTTTGTAGGTATAACGCTGATTTTTGTTGTTTGACTTCTGAATTAGTATTTATTCGGCGTGTTATTGTGTCTTAATTCTTAGAAGCTATTTGCTATATGCACATCAACAGCTCAGACTTTGTATATACTTTGTAAAATAATATTTAAATTAACAAAGACTTGCCTAAAGTAGAAATCACTTGATAGATCCATACTTTGGAACAGCTTAACATACCTAAAATAGGATAAAATAAAATTAATTATAATGTCTTAATGATAAGATTTTATTAATCTGATTAAATTTATATGAAAATGTAATCAAATAAAAAAAATACGAGTATAGGGCAGGACTTGGAAAATAATCCAACATAGAAAAGTGACTTATAAAATTTGAATAAATTTAGAAATTTCTAGATTTATTAGTCTCTGAGCAAGGCCTGCTATATCAAAATTTTGATTTAAATCTAAAAAAATAGTACAGTAAAAGCCCAAATATATGGCATTCAACTATCTGGAATTCAAGAAACCAGAAGATTTTAGAATTTTAGAAATCCCCATGAAAAAAAATTAGTAATGAAAGATTTATAATGCAATTATAGAGCTCACAATACTATTAACAGGTAACATTACAATATGATGTCAACAAATAGTGTGATCTAACACTAGTCACGGATAGGCCTGACATCATAACACAATCATAAGAAGTTTGTTTTAATTAAATATAAATTCAATTAATTCTTGATAAGTTGGTTTCATTTTTGTCAAGAAGGGCTATAAATTTTGTTTTGGCATTTTGCGTCAAAAACTTAAAAAGGCTGCGTCACTTTTCAAATCATTGCCACCAAATATTATTGCCCTGTACTATATTTAAAGAAATTAAATAATGAAGTATTTGCATGAATATATGTACGTTTCTTGAATTGTGATAAAACAACAGTATCTAGAGCCATCAAGTTTTGAACAATGCAATCTTCCACCCAAAATTAGTGGAATTTGTTTTATTATCTATTTCATATTTTGTAAAACTTTTAACAAATTTTTGATTAACAAACTCAACGATTTCAAAACGAGCAAAGCAACACTAAGAAGAAGAAAATATTTTTATCTCCAGCATGCAAGACTATGTATCGGAAATTATAATGCTCTTTGTAAATTATTTTGCAATACTGCTGTTGAATTCAAGTTTATCTTTTAAGTGCAAAGAATATGATATTTAATGAATTAAGGTAACACACAAAACATTGAAAAAGAATTCCTTTGGGTGTAAATAAAGTCTAAAAACTGTCAGCTTTTCTTCCCCCCCTTTCTGTACAAATGATTAATATTTGGAACAGCATGAAGTGGTGTAGTTTCAAGGTTACAAAATCTGAGCATCAAAACAGGCTATAATGGCCCAACATTGAAAATGGATAAGCAATGGCAAAGGAATATGAAAAACTATAACAAGCAATTTAAGTGTTTCATATGCCATATCCATAATTTGTATCTCTCTGTTATCTAATTATAAAAAGAATGTTCTGTTTGTTTAAACTTCCCCCGGAATGACTGACTACATCTCTGCCAACTTTCAAGTTTGATGGAATTTCATAACTTGATCAGATGTTTTACTTTCATGTTTAAATCCCACAATAAGCTTTTATGTCTGAAATACTACTTTTTATTAAAAACTTATACAGTCAAAAGTCGTTAATTCGGACACCCATAATCCGGAATGATCTATAATCCGGACCTCAAAGCTAAAAACTTTCTGCGCATGCGCTGCGTTGGCACATGCGCACAGGCGTTTTACGCATGCGCGTAAGACCTTGACTACTGCGCATATGCGTGTGAGCAAGTGCAGAATACGTTTTCGCCTGCGCGTTTAATGTATAACGGACGGTGTAAGCTAAAATTATCTAATTACATATTTCAGTTAATGTTAATGATTGCATTGTTCCTTAAACTTCGAATTGGATCCTGCTTATTATTTTTTGCAGACTGTAAGAGCAATTTTATAAAAGTAAACTTGAACTTTCGATTATGTCAAATAGAATTTCCGATGCTGGAACTTCCAAAGGATCTACAAAACGAAAGTATGTTTCGATGTCCAACAAACAAAAAGTGGAATTGCTGCAAAAAATGGATAAAGACACGAAGAATGTGACAGAGAGGTTAGTGAAAACGAAAAAATTTCGATTGACAAGTTAGTCGCTATTCTCGGCACAGCAATTAACGGGACTTGAACAGCGGAACTTTGTAACTGAACAAGAAATTATGTCTGTTTATAGAATTAAAGAGAAAGTATTATCACATAAAACGAAGCAATTTAAACAACTTACATTGAAAGAAATGTTTAATAAAGTAAACAAATAAATATTAAGCTTTTTTTTTTTTTTTTTTTTGATACCGTTTAGATCATAATTGCTCAATATTTTATAAATTACGGTTTCATATTTTTAATTTTAGAATTTCTGCATGCCATCTTACCAGATTTAAACTGATGATCTATAATCCGGAAAAAATCGATAATCCGGAATCGCCGAAGTCCCGACGAGTCCGGATTAACGACTTTTCACTGTATAACTTTAAGCGTAGGCTTATGATATCCAAGTTAGTAACAAATATGATTATTATTATTATTTTTTTTAATTTTAGAGCACAAATTTTTGCCATTGATTTTATTTATCTAATGCTAATTCAATTTTTATACGCTCAACTATCGCCATCAGTGGCCGGGATGTAAAATCGCTGAATACTAGTTGTTCCGACCTGGGTTGATTCCAGGTGAATGAACTGCTCCATGGGGGTTTTCTCTATCGTATGCGAGCCAGTTTCCCTTAGAAAGTCCTCCCTCCCCTTAGGCAGTTAGCTCTAGTATGCTTTGCCATAACCTACTACACCAAACCAATATGCTCAACTATCTGGAAATTTTATGCATCTGGAATTCAGTATTTCTGAACTTTCCGGATAGTTAAGCTTTTACTGTACTTTAATCTCTCTCTAACATAATCACCCACAGCTTCATACAAATTTTATGTTCAGTGAAGGTGGACATGTTAAAGAAATGATATTCAATACATGTTCATTCATGTTCTCAGAAATATTAGTCATTTTTCAAAGTGGTTAACTTCAGAGGGCTCACTATAGTTTGAAAAAGGCAGAGGAGGGAACTAAAAACTGAAATATATATTTCAAACTATCGGCTGTAGGTAGAAGTGTTTTTAAATGGTCATTTCTCATTACAAAAAATTTTGTGACATAAATCTTACCAAACATATTTTTTTCCTCTAACTTCTGCTATTGCTTCTGAAGAAATAGCAAAATACTTAGAACATTTGTTTGAGAGCAGAACGTTAAAATTCTTACAAATGTATTATCACCTGTTTTGGATCTGCTTTATTCTGTCCAATAGAGAATTTCCCTGTAAGATTATTAGATAACTTAAAAAAAAAAAAAAAAAAAAAAAAAAAAAAAAAAAAAAAGTGAAAGTATGTGCCATTATCAGTTACTGTAGTTCTTAACTGCACTTTGTCCAGGTTAGGATTCTCAATTTTAATTCTGTTCTCACTATTGCTATAAAAAGAAAAACATCTGTGAAACTGGAGCTTCCTTTTAGACATACAGTCAAAAGTCGTTAATTCGGACTCGTCGGGACTTCGGCGATTCCGGATTATCGATTTTTCCGGATTATAGATCATCAGTTTAAATCTCGTAAGATGGCATGCAGAAATTCTAAAATTAAAAATATGAAACCGTAATTTATGAAATAAAGAACAATTATGATCTAAAGGGTATCAAAATTTTCAAAAAGAAAAAGCTTAATATTTATTTGTTTACTTTATTAAACATTTCTTTCAATGTAAGTTGTTTAAGTTTTGCTTCGTTTCATGTGATAATATTTTCTCTTTAATTCTATTAAACAGACATAATTTCTTGTTCAGTTACAAAGTTCCGCCGTTCAAGTCCTATAATTGCTGTGTCAAGAACACCGACTAATTTGTCAATCGAAATTTTTTTTGTTTTCAATAACCTCTGTGTCACTTTTCTTCGCTATCGGAAGCGAATTATAATGACGAGGAACTTGTTTTAAATCATATCAAAGACGGAGCATATCGAGATGAAATACTACATTTGGTAAGGAATTATAAGCCAAATAAAATAAAAACATCTGCGCTGAAGATAAGGATAGTGCTGACAAATCAACTTCCAATTCATTAGGCGCCCGCCGCCGAGCAGCGTGAAATTGATAAACAGATTTCGGATTTCAAAACATACTTTCACTTTAGATCCTTTACATATATTAACAAATATATCGGAAATTCTATTTGATATAATCGAAAGTTTAAGCTTACTTTTATAAAATTGCTCTTACAGTCTGCAAAAAATAATAAGCCGGATGCAATTCGAAAATTAAGGAACAACGCAATCATCAACATTAACTGAAATAGATAATTAGATAATTTTAGCTTATACTTCCATTATACATAAAATGCGCACGCGAAAACGTATTCTGCACTTGCGCACACTCATATGCGCAGTCGTAAAAGGTCTTACGCGCACGCGTGAACGCCTCTGCGCATGTGTCAACGTGGCGCATGCGCATAAAGTTTTTAGTTTTGATGTCCGGATTATAGATCATTCCGAATTATGGGTGTCCGAATTAACGACTTTTGACTGTATAACTATATCAACACATAATACACAAAAAAGGAAATTGTAGATGGAAATTAAAAAAGAACAAAGCAGATTTCCAAAAATTCACACACTCTATGACCAAGTATAGTAAATTTTACAGATTATGGGTCCTGTTTTCTGAATTTTGTTTATATTTTTTCCTTTCTAATTTTTATATTACATCTGGACAGTCAGGAGAAAAATAACTGAGTAAAACATATACACACTTCAGGAGTTATATCATGAATACAGCATTATATTTTTTAAACATGAATTATTTTTTAATATTATTATATTTTTTAAACATGAATTATTTTTTAACATGATACATACAAAAACATTATATCAGCATTACTAGAAAAAACATAGTGGAAAAAATAAAATAAAGAAATTATGGGAAAGAAGCAATAATGAATTATTTTTGGAAAAAGGAAGAAATTTTAGATTTAAAAAAAAATTAATTACAAAAAGGATAGAAGGAACATTGCTTTTGTCAATTAGTGTTTATTTCAGGAGGAAACTGTTTGCCTACTGCCTCAATAATGGAAACAAAATAATTCCTTCCACTTGCTTCTTTCTCCAAATAAATTCTGACAGATAGAACATATATTATAAGATATAGCAAGTCTATTATAAGATATCCAAATATATTATCAGAAACAGCCAAAACAAAATGAGATACTATGGCCAATTTTGTCAGCAGATAAAGAAGAAGTATTTATTATGCTTTGCTCAACTGCAACACTCTGAGAACTGATTATGTATGAATCTGAATAAATTAATGACCTTATGTTTTTCCCACAGTGATAATACATATCAAAATAAACTTCATGAAGGGTTATTTCCAACATAAAAAATTATTTTAAAATCTCTCTCTTATAATCAGTAATGTAGATTCACGTTATATTTCATCACATCTTAACAATTCATAAGCATATTTTGGTACTTCCTTATTATAGTGGTCCCCCAAGATTGAATTGCTAATCAACTGAAATATCTCGCAGAAATCTTGGCACGTGCTCTTACACCTCACTACATGTTACATATCGGTTAAATCATGATTAAATTTTGGAGACTGCTATAATAAGGAAGTACACATATTTCTATATTTAATCAATCAAAAACATTAAAAGTGATATATAACACCATGAATGATGAAATTAATGTAAACTAAAACTAAATTAAAAGAAAAAAATCACTGAAAATCCTGTTAACAGTCTTAAATAAAACATATATTTAAAAAGAATATTTGACATAAATGTAAGTATTAGATCTGCCTTGGATAACTAAATATTTATGTGAAACACCAAACAAAGAGCACATACTTCAAATCTTGTTGATTGGTATTTTTTTCTCCTTCATTTGGTATATACACCATGCAAGTGTCTTGGATTTTATAAATTGTATGATGACCAATGTATGCTACTCTTTTTCTTTTTGTGATAAGTATCAGATAATAACCTTCTAAGAATTTTACAAAGCCTAAAAATAAAAGAACATTTCTAGTAAGAATAAATGACACAAGGTAACCTAGAAAGTTCATACAGTTTTTCAGAATAGTTACTTTTGGCATGTTAATGTGCTCAAATTGATTCTGATGGCATCATACTATGTTAACACTCCTTTCAAACCTTATTCAGTAGAAAGTTCTTCAGTACATGACATGTTTCGCTATTTGTTTTGTAGAAAGCACAATCATCGACATGTCATTGAAAAAGGAGATTTTGAAGCCTATTTTGCTTTACTAGTACAAATTAGAAAACAAAGCTGCAGAGGCCATTAAAAGACTATACTCCCTGCTTGGAAAGACATGAGTGAGTGAAAATATTGCTTAAAATGGTTCAATCGATTTTCTTCTGCTGATGAGAGTTTTGAAGACAAGTCTTGTGTTGGTCGTCCATCCACACTCGACAAAGTCCAGCTGGAGGAGGAAGTCAAGTAGAATCCCCATCAAACCTGCCAGGAGCTTCTACACAGGTAAAAAGCATCTGATGAAACCATTCAATCACATCTTCATAACCTTAGGATGACATAGAAAAAGAAAGTGGTTGTTCATGTCCTGTCCAAGGAAAACAAGATCATACAATTGAGCATCTGCTCATCTTTGCTGTCATGCCATAATAAAGCCTTGTTTCAGGACCAAATATTGACATATGATGAAAAATGGATTATGTATAATAACCAGAAAAGGAAACATCACTGTCTCGACTTCTGGTTTGGTCTCATTAGCTATTAAATTGATATTCATTAAAAAAGGTAATGCTGTGTGTTTGGTGGGCTAGTGCCGGCATATTTCATTATGAAATATTTAGAAAGCAAAAATAAATAAATAACAGTCAAGGTCTACTCATCAAAACTGCAAAAAGCTCCAGCTGCACTGCATCAGAAGCAGACATCACTGGACAACAGAAGTGGAGTTCTCCTCCTCCATGATAATGCCAGACCTCATATGGACAAAGCCATCAAGGAGGTGATCAAAACAATAAGCTGGATTCTGCCTCAACCACCCTATTGCTCGGATATCTGACTAACCTATTTTTGGGCATATATAACCACTTGAAGGAGCAGCAGATTCCAAAATGGTGGTGATATCACAAAAGCTGTAACACAATTTTTGAATTTCAGAAAAAAGGATTTTTTTAAAAAGGGCATTTATAAGCTTGTGTCTCATCGGGAACATGTAACTGGTGATTATATTGAAGAATGAAATGGGTGTTTTAAGATTTTCGTGGGCCGTTTTAGATGAGTGATGAAAACCACACGAACTTCCTTGGTTACCTGATGGTATTGCATGCCACTTTACATATACACAGTAGTAAACTTCAAATTTTACAGACAATATGATGGATTTTACTTTAGTCTTAATAGCTAAATGCATTTAAGAAGCTAAAACATTTTATTTTTATAAATCCATGATATGTCATATCTAAATGCATCTTTTTCTCTGAGAATAAAAATCAGGAACTTAACTAGGATCAATAAAGAAATAGAGCATAGCCATGGTAAAGAGCTTCCTTCACCATGGCTATGCAGGATTGACCAGTAACACTAAAAAATGCTGCTGACCAGCAACACTAAAAAATGCTGATGCAGCATCAGTTTCCTTTGTGATGTTTATGTAGGATTAATCAGAAATAACACAGAGAGTTGATGGAACATCAGCTTCCTTTGTAAAAATAATGGAACATCCAAGGAAATTGCCAGAACATTAACTTCCATCACAATGGTTATTTAGGGTTAATTAAGAATGACAAACAATGCCGATGGAATGTCAGCTCCCTTTGTAATGGTTATGCAGAATTCACCAGGAACATTAAAGAATGCTGATAGAATATCAGCTTCTTTTGCAATGATAGTGCAGGATGACTTAAATATGAGCACTTCATACATGGTGAACACAAATTAGATCATTCCTTGATCACTGTCTTCAGAGATGGTATTATGAAGAGGATAAACACATAGGCTTTAATTAACTAATATTTTATTCGAACCTAAGTAGCATCTACTATTCACAGTTTTAAGCATTACAAAAACAATCTTCCCACGAAGATATCAGGCACCATTATTCTCTTAAATGGGTACCATAATTAAAGAATTTCTTTTTGTTTCCATTATTTAATGGCTTTACAAGATGAATACATAGGGAACATCAAAACCAACTGATGGCTTTCAAGAAGAATTGGCATACCAATGGAAAGAGAAAATATGCATTTTCTTTAATGCGTTTATCAGAGATCCTTTGTTTTTTGCTATAATACTGCAATTTTTCAATATAACACAGTGTAAAAGACGAAATTGCAGTTGAAAATATTACTGTAATTGTGATGAAGATGATTAAATAGGAATTTGCTGCAAACTGTCTCAAATTTAGTCTCTTAACTCAATAATGGTACAAAGATAATAATGGTACATTTTGTCTCCACGAAATCGAAGACAAAATTATCAGTTTCTACCCTGTGAGCTAGAAAATCCAACTTATTGGAAAAAATTAAAATTTTCTAATGCAATCTTTTTGGAAGAAATGGTACATTCTATTTGATTTAACAAATAAACAAACAAAAATTAAATCGAGTTATTAAAGTTGCATTACAATTTGCTTTTGCTGATTAAACTACAGAAAAAATTTTGTCGAAGAGCTATGCCAAAGTGCCAATAATTTGAATATCTTAGGGCAGTGGTTATAATTATGCAGAATAGTAAATTTGCATATCAAAGTTTTCTTTTCTTTTCTTTTTTTTTTTAAAAATATATCCTACTTTTTACATTGAATTTGGATCGCTTGCACATAAAGAACTAAACAAATTTTATCTCAAGAATTATTTAATTATGATTTCTTGAATACAAGACTATATATTTTTTAATATAATTACATAAAGAGAAAATAATGGCACATTGGGAAAATAACATACTCGTGTATTATCCCATTGACTGTAAAACCATATAACCATGAAAGTTGGAAAAGATTCCAAAAACGTTAGGCGAATCATTCCTGTGGAATTCTGAAGGAACTCAAGCTTCTTTCTTAAATAAACAATTAGTATTTTGCATGCTCCATTTTTGTGCTTCATAAAAGGTTTTCCATCGATTTGTACTAGATTGTTAGAACTTCCAATTTCACCAGAAGTTCTGTTTAAAATGTTGTAAAATTTCTGCAGATAAATGTTCCAATGTGTTAAGGTTTTGTCAGTCACATTCAGTTGACCATATTGTGTACATTAATACACACTTCTTTGTTGTTAAGATCCCAAAATTTTAAAAATAATTCACTAGCTGCTGTTCAGTAGAAGGTCCCAAATCTCAAATCTTAATCTTTTTTTTTTTTTTTTCAAAATAGAAGTAAAAAGTACAATAGCAGTTAATTTATATCCTAATTTATGAAAACAAAATAATACTTAGCAAAATTAATCAAGATTACATAAAATGAAAGCAAAACAGAAAAGTAAAATGGCATAAAAGTGTTATGCTTATTTATAAGTGGTGCTAAATTATGCTACTTGGCAAGGGTTTCATGGTCCACAGGATAACATATTAATACTGAAAATAATGTCAAACTGTGAAATAGTACTGGAAGAAAATTAAGAACTTGGTAAAATCACATCAAAGAATTTTACTCCCCCCTAAAAAAAGTACATATCCACCAACGAAATTACTTTGAAAGTAATGTTTATGCTCTTACAAAACAGAAAAAAATTAATTTAAAAAAAATGCTCCTTAGAAAAATAAAAACAATAAAGTGCTCAATTAAATCCATATGCTAATTCTGCCACTATACTTTGTGCACATTTGACAAGATTAATAACAGTACGAAAATTGCTATAATTGAAATTTTAGAATTAAAAGAGAATTCTCTGTTCTTTAGCCGTCTTTTCTTTACCATGTTTTCTAACATTAATGCTAGAAAAGTCTCCTTAAAAGTGTTATTTCAAGAATCTACCTGTTCACTGATGTTAAATACGCTGTTCTCACTGCATGGAACGTTGCATGTTGCGACTTGCCTCACTTGCCAGTAATATCAGATCAAGTCCATGAATTTTATCATGACAAGAGGCAATGGTCGCACCTGTCATTGACTTAAACCTTGGGCACTGTATAGGTAACAATATAAATTTGCTCAGCTGTCTCAATTTTGAAGGAGAATCCTAGAGGAGATGATATTAGGGGGACCAGAAAGTAATGTCGCTTTCTTACATTAAATTCAAATGAATACACTTTTAACAAGTTTTTATTTTTAATCAATATTATAACCATCCTTGCTATCAACAACCTTTTGCCGTCTATTGTGCAGATTTTCAATCCCGGACCGATAAAAATCTATTGGTTTTTGAATAAAATATCTCGAGATGGCATTTTGCACATCATCCAGATTTTCAAATTTTTGCCACTAAGAAAATGTTGTAGGGATCAGAATAAATTGAAACCCGAGGGTGCGATATTGGGCGAGTATGGCGGGTGAGGCAGTAACTCCCACCCCAATTCATGAATTTTTTCTAGTGTTTGTCTAGCACAGTGCGGTCTTGCATTGTCGCGTTGCAGAATGACGCCTTTTCTGTTAACAATCGCCAGATATTTTTCGATTAAAGATTGGTTCACTCATCAATGCAATGTTCACACTAAAGGTCTGCATTAACAGTTTATCTAGGTTTCAGGAATTCAAAATGAACAATTCCGCGAATATTCGACCAAACGCACAGAAGAACCTTTTCGGGATGCAAACCCCTTCATTTTGAGAGGGCCACTGCCTTTTTGCGTTTTGGATTATCATATAGAACCCATTTTTCTTCTCCAGTAATCGAAAGATCCAAAACGGTTCTGTATGGTTCCATTGCATAGGATGGATCAGTCGGCTTTGTTCTCTTCAGACAGATTATAAGGGACTCAAACACCTGCTCTGCTTATTTTTCCAATCTGCTTTAAATGTTCTTTGGCTGTACGACCAACTTAGGTTAAGGGTGTTTGATATGAATTTGCTTTCGCTTCTGCCCTTAGCATA